CATTTTGTACTGTCATTGTTCCAAATCATATATTATTTTTTTATTTTTTATTTTGTAAATTCACTGTGCATTGAAAAATCAGAAAGCAATTTTGTCAGATACCAAGAAATGCCAAATCTTGACTGTATCTGTATCTCACTATCTGTATAGCCGGTATAACTGCCTTTCGGTGTAACACACCAGCTTCGCAGGCACGTGGCGCGGCAGGAGCTGCCAAAATTACACCGATCGACTTGTTACACCTTTTAGCTCTAGACATTGTTTAAAGCTATCTATTTAAATGACAATGCCCCTACTGTACTTGGTGACAGTGAGTTCCACTCTGCGATCATAAGTTCTAGGAATGAATTCTTGAACACCTCAATCCTTGGTTGATAACTCTGGTACTTGAGGGCATGGCTATTTCTTGTTCTCTTCTGGGCTGGTATTAGGTACTTAGTAGTTGGGACGTCCACCAGTTTATTAGTCATTTTGTACATCATGCATACTCTGGACTGTGCATGTATATCTTCACCAGTATAATATTAATTACAGCTACATGTAGATCATTATGAAATGTCTCTTCATGTTATCTTAGAGTAATCCATTTTAATGCTTTTATTTGCCTAAACATTGTTGCTTTATTGATTGTTTCCTATCACCATATAGATTTTTTTTCTTCACATGAAGGACAATTTTCATTATTACAATAGAAATGGTTTTTAAAAGGGTGGATGTGGATCATGATGAAGAAGATATCAGGGAAAACACTCTGATCACAAATGCTGTTGAAAATATATCCCATTGCTATACAGAATAAAACAACAGACAATTATTAAAAGTGCTCTCTTCAATAGGAAAATGTACTGTGTTCTCCGTCATATTTGCAATAGAATATTAGTCACAACCATAAGCTAGGAATGTGAACTCTTTCAGAAATGACAACAAATAGCAGGGAGGGCATAGCTGAGTTTCAACAATGGCATTTATTTTAGAACAAAAAATTCAGAGGATCGCAAACATGCCCTTTCCCAACATCTTTCATTGTCATTTTAAGGGTCTGCATAGAAGGTCCCGATCACGCTTAGCACGCTAACTTTTGTGAGCGACCACGATTTACACTTGACATTAAATCAAAGTTGTTTGACTTTAAATTATGCAAATAGCAAGGTGCGAAATTCTGCAGAGCAACGACCCTGTATTATGCTTCACTTAATTGTACAGGCTGGACATTTTATTACAGAGATTACATTGAACAGTGAATAGAACGACCCTGCTTTGCGTTATGCAAAACTAAAACAGATTACGCATTGCGGCATGCAGACCCCATTTTTGAAAGAGTTCATAAATGAAAGTAGACTCACAGTCAAGTCCGATGTTCTCTTGTCTCTTGGAAAGGTGACAGGTCCCACAATGTCAGCTATACAGAATCTCAAGCCTAGGGTGTGAAAAAAATACACATTCAGAAAGATCACAATACAACAATACTCACAGAGCATATTATACATTAATTGCAATATTCACATCATTTGTTTAAGTTCTTAAAACTTGATTTGGGTTGGGGGCAAGAGTTTTATGCTTTGTATAATAGTGAACATTCAAGCAAAGGTACACATAGAATATCATGACCACATAAAATCACATAATATACCTATCACATAAAATATCACATCAAAACAATAGTGAACATTCAAGCAAAGGTACACATAGAATATCATGACCACATAAACTCGCATAATATACATATCACATAAAATATCACATCAAAACAATAGTGAACATTCAAGCAAAGGTACACATAGAGTATCATGACCACATAAAATCACATAATATACATATCACATAAAATATCACATCAAAACAATCAATATGACAAGTTAGCACACATGTTGTCTGAAGAAACATCATACTATCGATATCATAGCCAATGGCAAATTGAATCAGACATGAAATACATTATTTCTTTACAGTTTATACCATCACAACAGTCATGAAATGCATTTCAAACATCAGTTAAACAACATTTAAGCACAGCTCATATTGATAAAATAAGGCAGTAAAAGGTGAACAAGAATTCGGAGATCGCATACCTCCATGAAATATATGAGAAATATATATATTACAAAAGACACAAAAACAGGAAGTTCTGCTGCAGTACCAAGGTCATCCACCAGGAGGCCCATATTTGACCTTGACCTTTGCCTACCTACATGTAATACCTACCCACATACCAAATATCATTACAATCCATCCAATGGTTCAAAAGTTATGCTGGCTGCAAATGTCCGGAAACACAGGCAGACACACAGACGCACCAAAAACAATACCTCCATTTTTCATGGAGGTAATAAACTGAACACCAAGCTCCGACTATACAACAGTATTGTCCTACCCACTGCAATCTACGCTAGCGAAACCTGGAAATGTACAGCTAAAGCATCCAGAAAGCTAGACGCCTTCCACCAGAGAAACCTGAGGAGGATACTGAAGGTGAGGTGGCAGGATCACATAACGAACGATGAGATCCTGAACAGGGCCAAGTCCAAGTCTCTGAGTACCATCATAACAGAGAAAAGGATGCAGTTGGCAGGACATATCCTCCGTCTGCCCAGCAGAAGGCACTCTAAGACAGCGATGACTTGGGTACCCCACAACGGCAGAAGAAAGAGGGGAAGGCCGAAACACACCTGGCGCAGGACCTTCCAAGACGATCTAAGAAGGGCAAACATCCCCTGGGAGGAGGCGGAGACAGCGGCCGCTGACAAAAAGAAGTGGAAGCTTGCTGCCCGATGTGCCATTGGCACAGAAGGAACTAAGGTCTAAGGTAAGGTAATAAACTGAAATAAAGGCTTTGAAAACAGCGGGTCTGAAAAAGCGCCCCTTAACGGCCGTTTCATTAAGTGCAGGTTTAAACCCAGGGAACCCGGTCGCCACAAATACGTCACGCCATTCTGTGTTTTAGCTTCACTTCATTACAATACGTTCGGTTTAAATAGTAGCCACTATATAAAGGACAATGTTAAGTGCGACTCACCACCGAAAACAGACGTAACGCGTCTTCCAAGACGAATTTTACCGGAGCTCTTTCCCTGCCATGTACACTGCGGCCATCTTCCCGAAGCGTGGTCTTAGCACCTGACAAGAGATCACCCAAATTTGCATATTCTCAATTAAGTAATTAGATCAGATAAGCTTAGACACAGGTGCCATCTCATTTGTTAATGAATCATCATAATTTGCATTTCTTTGCTAAGCTTTATAACGTAATAGACCAACACCATTATCATTATATCATTATTTGCCTTACAAATATATCATTCGACCTAAAAATATTCCTTTAATCTTTTATTTCAATAGATGACAGCATTACAGCTGGTTTTAACAGGTTTTAACACAATACACCTTTACTTTACACAGTCCCGAATTGCAATTTGCTGTTATGCTTTGAACAAAATATTGTCTCGAGTGTTTCTCAGTTTGACATACCTTACAATATCACTTCAATAATGCAAACATTAAATTTTTTTATCAACTATATTCGGTAAATTTTGTGTTTTTTCGCCCTCTGTGTAGCTAACGCCCTGGCGCCCTCCCCTTCCATCAATTTCTTTCAGAAAGCTACAATCTTTCCTTGTTATTTTCCTTAATTTAGTGCATTGAATTTCTCTATTTAAATCAATGAGGCTTAAAGAATATTATCAAATGACTGTCTCACTTACCTCTGTGTAGCTTACGCCTTTCCAAAAAGGCCGTATCTCGCTAAAGAAGCCTCGCTCATTCCCAGATTTGGCCATTTCTGGACTTGGAAAACGCGATGGGCTCTAATGGGGTTTTTACTCAGAGTCTTTTCCGCTCTTGTTCTTGACCTTGAGGCTCACTCCACCAACCTAAGTATCACGAATATGTCAGGAAAGAAACGTTTTCGTCTTACATCTTTTAATTTTGAGACAAACATTCCTTGAACGGCAAGTACGAGGGGCTGAATACGAAGCTTTTTTGAAGCTATTTCTGCCATTTCAGTTTTTACGAAAGTTACAAACTATAATGTACAATTTATACAAATATACGTTTGTACTCAGTTGAAATATTTTAATTGTCTGAGCTATTTATATAGATAGATACTTTGCAGAACAAGCTGCTAGATACAAAAGATACAAAAATTCTGCTGCAGTACCAAGGTCATCCAACAGGAGGCCCATATTTGACCTTGATCTTTGTCTTTCCAAGACTTACCATCATACCAAATATCATCACCATCCATAAAGGCGTTCTGAAGTTGTGCTGACAACAAAGTTGCGGAAACACACACAGACAGACACACACACACACAGACATACAGACAGACACGCCAAAAACAATACCTCCATTTTTCATGGAGGTAATAACTTTTAGCTTGTCTAATAAGCTACATTCGCATAGTGTTTCAAATCCTACAGAAGCGACATTCATTTTCCCATTGTTGCAAAGAAACACACACACTATTAGGGTTTTATTTAAACCTGATTATCCAGAGTTCACAATTACAATGATAAAGACATTTTACAAAGTACAAACAAAAGTACCAGACAATGTGTCATACATTATGTTTTCTTCCAATTTTACCAACAAAACTGTCCGAGTGTCCGATAAATTGTGACTTTCCAAAAGACCACTGTATCCAAGTACTAATCTTACTTCGTAAAACAAGAATGATATAAGCAGAAGCAGATCTAATTTTCATTTATGATACTGTAAGCTGTATGAATTTTTAGTCCTTGGGCCACACCAATTTAATTTGTTGGTTCTCGGATTCGCCTCTTCCTTTTTTTCTGATTTGCAAAAAAAAAAAGATTCTGGTTCTGAATCAGCTCAAAAATGCTCATATTTTGCCCCCAATCATGGAGGAAAGTCCTTTTCTTCCAAGTTGTTACAGTTTTTCCATCTATCAATGCAGTGGTTTGATTAAAAGTTCAAAATTAATTGTTTTAATATTAACCCAGCCTATCGTTGCATTTGGGGCTATAATAGGATGCCTAGACCTGTTTTTATTTTTATTTTTCCACCGGTACCCTGTCTCTTCATATTTTTTCTGAAAAAATCCGAGAACCAACAAATTAAATATTAATACTTATAGTTTTACCACGGCACACCCATATACCTGCACCTGAAATAACATCACGTTATGCAAATGACACACGTGACTCTGTGAGCGGTGTATCGTACGTTGCAGAAAGTCTGTGGCGCCCCCCGTCTCTGTTGAGGGACGTTTGCAATTTCCCGAGATCGCGATGTGGATGGCCCCTTGTGTTGGCTCAAAGTGACTTCTAAACATAGATGAACTTTTCAAGATCTAAACTTTTATTTTTCAAAGAAGACCCGTTCCCATCATTTGCATTGTCAATATAGAGTCATCACAATTTATGTACATTTGTCAATGTGATACGTCAGGACGCCCTTGGCGTCTAGTTCGCGCATGAATTCGTACTCCGTATTGTAGTGATGCGGTTTTGGGAAGAGTCCATGTCCCGGGAGGGGGTCGTCGTGGTAGTGGAACAGGACGGTGCGGTTCCAAGGGTCGTAGTCGAGCGGGTAGAAGCCGTACAGGTCCAGCTGGTCACAGAACGTCAGGGCCAGCAGGTACGCAATCACACCAACGGAGGGGGCTTCAGCGTCAGGGTACAACTTCTGCAGCAAACTACGTAGAAACAAGACGTAGAAATACCCGAATGAATTACATCACACAATGGATTATATCTCATACGATTGTATGAACTAAACTTCCACGATTGTAACGTCAGTGAAATTTTACCAATTCCTAGCCACACACTAAATTATGTCAATTTATGACCCAAGGGCACACTGGATTCACTACCCCATCTTTCCAGTGAACCTCGGCTAAAGTGGCCCAAGTCCCCAGGACGAAGTGCGGATTGGACACAAACACACAAACAAACATCAATTAACGCGACCGAAAACAATACTTCCGTCCCGTCTACATGTATGATATTCTACCGGTAGAGACCCGATCAGAGTGTCTGCTGATATAGAGACTCTGACAGGGGTCTGCCAGTGGAATTGCAGATTCTACCAGATCGGAGTCTCTATATTGATATTTAACGTTAAATATAGATATGTTGACTCGTTTTGCTAAGGCCATGTTGATTTGATTATATGGATGACATCTGCGCGCGCATAATTTCTCTCCCGTTTCCAAAAAAAAAAGTTTTCAACCATACTGTAAATCGTACAAAACAGTTTCAAAATGAGCAAATATATACCGTAAGTTGAAAAAAAACATTGGAAAACGATACCAATGTCATAGAATGCCAAAATCAAACGAAAAAAGACAAAAATGTAAAGAAATGAATTTGAAGAGTAGATTATTCGCCAAACCATACTCTGTGTCATTTGTTCAGCATTCATGACCACGTAGATTTCATAATGAAAGCAACTTTTTTTTGCAAAACTTTTTTTCGCTCGCGTCAGTCATTGTCAGTTTTGGGGTTCCCAGAGGATGTCATCCATATAATCAAATCAACATGGCCTAAGACTAGTACTTACTCTACTGTCAGGTCCTTCAGTGTGACCAGGTTGTAAGTCATCGTGGCTCGGAGTTGGTGCTCTGCTAGTATCTCCAGTAGAGTTTCTAGCCTAAGACTCGGTCCTGTAGCAACACCCATGGACAGTTCATACAGCGGCTTCGGGTAGAAGATGACGGTGTTGTTGTACTGCCGGAGTCTAGTCATGATCTCGTCTTTTCCCTGAACCTTCACGCTCAGGGATTCCTTCTTTCTCTTCTCTTCTGCGTCTTCGGCGAAACTGTTGGTGATGATGTGTAGTTTGTAGGTACCGAGGACCACGAGATTGACCTGCGGTGGTAACAGGATTTTGTTTAAAGTTAAAACTTTTGGTCCAACACAAAAAATTCTCTCACCTAGAGTTTTCGACTAGTCACTCTGGTCTTCCTCAGTAGACTGACCCAGTGAAGCTTGTCACGTGCCTTCTTTGAAGTGTGACGTCATATGCACCAGGGCCTATCACCCTTCATTGAACCGCGACGGGGGCCGACATTATCTACAAGATACCTTTGACCCAGTGTTAATAAATAACCAAGTAAACAAACCTTGGTCCCAACGTCGTTCTTGAACTCCTCTAGCGGCGCGAAGTTGAATCGCATGATGAAGTCGTGCTGGTCGATCTGGCGTCCGCAACCGCTGTCACGAACGATGCCAGAACTCCCTACGATCGCGCACGACTTCTGTCGCACGATCGGAGTGCCTCCACGACACTCGGTGTAGGGCTCGCCGTGCTTGTGGCACTTCTCCGTGTCTTGTTCGAAGTCGGAAAAGAAGACCATGTCCCGGTCGACTTTGAAGACCGAGCTTATATGTTTCCTACAAAAATAAGACGGCAAAGATAAAAGAATTGGGTTTTGAACGATGAAAAATTGGGTTTTGAACGATGAAAAATTGGGTTTTGAACAATGAAAAATTGGGTTTTGGACGATGAAAAATTGGGTTTTGAACGATGAAAAATTGGGTTTTGAACGATGAAAAATTGGGTTTTGAACGATGAAAAATTGGGTTTTGAACGGTGAAAACGGGTTTTGAACGGTGAAAAATGTGTTTTGAACGATGACAACTGACCTGATGAAGCCTTGTTGAACTTGTACCTTTGGTCTTTCGTATCTTTATATGTGCATAACAGTTGTCCCTCCCCAAATAAAATCGCGTTATTTGTGGTGGTAGTTTCAAGCAACATTGGAAAGGTTCATCATCGAGGCGTTGCCAAAATATTAGTCTAATTTTCCAGGCTGTAACAGTCATGGCTTAGTATATAGGGGGACGTACGCTTAGTGGACAGGGGGGGATAGTGTAGCAGCCCTGACCTCTGACCTAAATATGTAATCACTGTGGCTTGCATATAGTGAGTGAGCCATGATTGGATGGAACAGGCTAGTGGCACAGCAGCTTCTTAAGTGAAACTTGGTTTGAGCAAGACTCGAGACCCAGAACTGGAGTCCCATGTACGCAATCATTGAAGGTCAAGTTTGAACTTGTAGGATGCCCCTACCTGATGTCGTCTGCCGTCCTAAAGTATTTGTTTCTCCAGTCGTTGTCTCCTTGCCACGGTCCGTCCGGACTCGGGACTACTTTCATCTGTTCTCTTGAACTTCTAACAGGCTGCTGCTGTGGCGAGTCGGCTGCTTTCCTGATCGGACCGCCCTGGACTTCCTCCACTATACTGCGTCTCACCCTTCCCAGCCTACCGTCACTGTCAAGTCTGTAATATTAAACAAGTAAAACGTTCAGTTTACTTCAGATTGACCATACAGAGATTTCCTACCGCACTAAGTACACACACACACACACACACACACACACACACACACACACACAGAAGAATATGCCTGTCCATGGTGCTAAACACCATCCACACACAGATGAACATGCCTGTCCTTGGTGCTAAACACTAACCACATACGCGCACGCACGCACACAAACACACGCACGCGCGCGCACGCACGCACGCAAAAAGACAAGACTACAAAAGACAAGCTGACAGAAAAGAGACCCAAAGTGCCAACAGAACACTCCCAGGGCCACAAACCCAGCTTGTCGGCAGCCCCCCGTGGTGAGTTCAGGACACCCCGCCTCAGGCCCTTCGGCAAACTGGGCTGGTCCGATTTAACGGTTGAATGAATTCCGATAGGTGTACTACATGTAGTAAATCACTGGGAAAACCACTGGTCGTCGAGCGGGAACCCAGCAATTGTCCAGCTTATGGTTGGAATCAGAAAGGAGGTTAAATACTTGTATTAAACCTCCTTGGAATCAGCGAGGACATTATATAATATATCTGTAGTGTCCTTAGAATCAGGCACGTTTCAGGCACGTTTCTCCGCTTATCCAATACCGTAGATTTGCCCCAGGCACGGTTTTGGATACGCGTGGACTGCGTGGGTTTGGATAAAACGCTTTTCTGGATACAATTAGCAACACCAGCCTTATTTCGGATTACAAAACTATGATGTTCAGCAGTAAGCACGATATTTAGATAACTGAACAAATATTTTGGAGAATACCGCAACCACAACATAGCCTCCGTAGCAGGCTTATAGAACTGGGGGGTGGGGTGGTGGTCTTCGGCTATTTTCCGATTAGCCCAGTTCAACAAACGGGGGTAATTCAACCAGGCCGGTTATGTTGTCTATATGCAATCAGAAAATAGCACATAAAAGCTCCCAAAGACCCCCAAATCTCCAGTTTTTGGCATGTTATGGAGGCTAATTAACCACAACACACGTTTAACGAGTGTCTGGGCGTCAGCTAGTAGGTATCTGTCTGCTCAATGTAGCCTAAGGACAAAGCCTTAATGTCATGTCACACGTGTCTGTGCACTGGGTCTATTATCTGTACATGGATATGTACATGTACAGTTAATCTAAACGTTTCGTTTATGTTTAAACACTTCAATATGCTCTGATCGTTATAGGCCGTGTACGTAATCTCCAAGCAGATCCTACGGTGGCAAGGCAGTACCAATTGGCCAGAGGAGCGTCCTTTTTGTAGCCACCGTAGGATCTGCTTGGAGAATCCTGTTGTGGGGGTCGTGTGGCGTAACGACAGAGTGCTCGACTCGTGTTTCAAGCCATATGCACGGATTAAGTAAACAAATTAAAAGTTTTCCTTTTTTTTTACATCTTGATCAAAGTTTCGTCCTCTCTTTGTGTGGGGTCGTGTGGCGACTAGGAACCAAGAGGTCCCGGGTTCGAGTCCTGACATGCCACAGATCTTGTGCCCTTGGTAAAGGCACTTTACACGACTCTCTTCACTCAACTCAAGTGAAAAATGAGTATTGTCCTGTCCTGTATGATCCTCTATTTGTCCTCTGCGTTGGCGGCGACATAAAATAAGTTGATATAACTTGTGCTGTCATCATGTCTAGTCATGAAATTTTGGAATTAAAAAAAAGATGACGTGTACGTACCCATAGTTGACGGTGTAGACTCCCAGCCAGTAGCTGCCTGTCATCATCACCAACCACGTCACAACTATTAGAAACCAGCTCCGGGGGAGGTCAAACTCAGCCATGACTTTCCTACAAATAAGAAAAAAAGTCAGATCATGATGAAATCGTAATTCATGCTCAATCAGAAACGACTCTACTAGACATCCTTACTGTTAGTGTTACCCCTTCTTTGCTCTTTAGCAGAGGCGTTTCTCAGTAAGGCCATGTTGATTTGATTATATGGATGACATCCTCCGGGAGCCCCAAAACTGAAGCGCGCGTGCGAATAAAAAAAAGTTTGGCAAAAAAAAAAGTTGTTTTCATTATGAAATCTACGTGGTCATGAGGGTTGAACAAATGGGACAGAATATGGTTTGGCGAATAATCTAGTCTTCAAGTTCATTTCTTTACAATTTCGTCTTTTTTTTTTGTTTGATTTTGGCATTCTACGACATTGGTATAGTTTTTACTTATTTTTTTGTAACTTACGATATATTTTTGCTCATTTTACAACTGTTTTGTACGATTTACAGTATGGTTGAAAACTTTTTTTTTTGAAACGGCCGAAAATTCGTGCGCGCGTGGATGTCATCCATATAATCAAATCAACATGGCCTTACGGTCACCGTGATGTTGTCAATTCCTTTAATTTACATTTAATGTACATCTGCTTCGCTATTAGGGAAGTACAGGATAAGCTACACTCTGTACATTGTTTATTATTCCTCCGAAGAAAGTTAACTAAATGTATCTCTGGATACTAGTACGTGTAATGTGTCCCAAATAGAAATGTTTTGTAGGTGTGCAAAGCTAGAAACTCCTGAGTCGGAATCGTACACCATAAAACTTCTAACAAGTTGTTCCAATGTTGATGGTATTTCTTACTGTCTTTCCGCCCCCTTCCCCCAAGAAACACGTGAACTCTGTTTACCGACGTCTTGAAAGCCTGGGGTCAATCAGAGTGTATGTCAAAGCAGACAAAGGCAGACGATTATCATGTAATAACAGACAGATCAAGGAGATTCTGGGGTTATGCAACTATCTGACAGAACAACGAACCCCTTCACACTTCATTGTACGTATAAAACTAAACTGTACAGGTGACATTTATAATTAAGACATAGTGATCAAAACAACAACCCGATTCAAAATGATGAAATACTACAGCCACAGTGACCCTGTAATTGAGAATTATGGCTTTTTATCACATTATAGTCAAATTGATGTATGTATGTGAGAATTTCGAATAACATCGTTGCATAACAGGTTGCATAACATTGATTGTAACACACCTGGCCATGCCAGTGTTACAGACAGAAATTTTCAAACTCTGTATACAGCTACTTAAACCAAAAACGTAGTAGATAGACCTCTTATGTACACGTACTATAGTAAGCTAAACGATTAACTATCTAGTTAGTAATAAGTTAAACTAGTAAATTAACTAGCACTCACCAAGTTAGTAGATCATTTTATCGAAGACGGGAGAGGAGTTGTAGTGGAAGTGAACACTTTGGGCGACACTTCTGAAAGACGACAAAAATGGCGTGCATATATACCTGTGGAAAAAAAACATGGCGGGGCCTGAGGCCAAAAAAAATTAACCCATGACCCCAAATGACAAGGACAGCAATTATGATGATACCAAATAAAAGATATCCTTTTGGAAATTTTTAATGGCTTCACAATATCATCGTTGATGATTATCGTATGTTTTTGTCAATCAGAAAGCTGCAGTGAATGTTATCTTTTGGACGACAATGCAAGGTGGGGAAGAGAGCAAGGAAAATTACCTTAACTATTTTGACCTTTTCCAAACCCTGTCAGACAGGTTGGTAATGTCAGAGGCCACCATAATTAGCTTGTGCACGTGTCTCTTTACGTACAAAAGCGACATCTTGTGAATTACAAGTGTACTACACCTTTGTGTCAAGTAAGGCCACACCGCCTTAATTTTATGGATGGCATCCTCTGAAGACCCCCAAACTAGTGCGCGCGGGCGAATAAAATAAAAATCTGACCAAAAATAAAAATGCTACTAAACCACAGGAATACAAAGACAAATTTGGTATTGTGAATTTGCGGCAAAACATATACGACAAGCTGGCACATGCTGGCTTTTTGCAGAATTTATGAATCGACACTGTACGTATGTACTGAGTTCTTGAGTCGTATGGAGCTTCGATAGCCTGAATGCCATCATCCGGATTACCACCGGCTCCGTATTGTCGCTATAAAGCAAGCTTCCATGGACTACCCAGGCCTAGCTATAGAGCCAGGCCAGAGCCTCGGATGACGTGATCTTTTTTTTTTTTTGAGAACAGGCGAAAATCAGTGCGCGCGCGGATGTCATCCATAAAATTAAGCGATGTGGCCTAAGGCATCAATGATAATGATTTCAACGAATGACTCGTCCTCTAGTTATCATCCCTTATAAAACTCTTATAACTATTTAAGCTTCTTTCCTGTTGCGAAAAGTTTGAGCTTTAGGAAAACTTTGGATTCGTTTAACGCATTTTATAATTAGGTGGGTTTGGAAATAAAATGGAATGGCTTTCTTCAGTGATGTGAACTTTAAAGTCAGTATCTTATGTCTTTGTTCAACAATTTCTATATCTTATCCATCATACGGCATTATATTATATTTGATGTACAATATTTGATGTTAATGATGTTTATTATTGCAATTTGTTTTGTATTTAATAATGTAATCTGTATTTATATTCTGTATGTTGTGTTTGGGAGGACAACTTGTAAAGGTGTCAATGCACCTGTTTTGTCCTCCCTTCCACTTGTATATCTGGTGGTAAACTCAAATAAACAAAATAATTAATATACACTATTCTTCATATCTTGAAAAAAGGTTATTTTACGTCATTCAGCCTATCATAACTAAAATTCCTGTTCATTAGGCCACACCAATTTAATTTTTTGGTTCTCAGATTTTTTTCAGAAAAATATGAAGCGACAGGGCGAAAAAAAAAACAGGTGTAGGCATCCCCAAATGCTACGATAGGAGCGCATGAAGTCAACACAAAAGGCTGAGTAAAGGTTTAAACAATCAATTTTGAACTTTTAAACAAACCACTGCATTCAATTTGATACATGTAAAAACTAGGAAGAGAAGGACTTCTTTCAACTGTTGGGGGTAAAATAAGAGCATTTCTAATTAATTCAGAACCAGAATTGTTTTTTTTTCAAATCAGAAAAAAATGAAGAGGCAAATCCAAGAACCAACAAATCAGATTGGTGTGGCCTTAGAATACTGAATCCAACACTCTGTACAAGAAAAATCCCCGAGACAATTGTATATACAAACATCCATTTAATACCTGTTTTTGTACATGAATTGCACAATATCTTATTGAGTGCTCCACCATTGGTCAACCAGCAAAAACATAATATAACTTCTACAAATGGCTACAAAGAGCAGCATGAAAAAGTAAATGAAAATTAACGAAATGCAGTGTTTAAAGCAATCGAAATATACTATCATGAAAGTTCATCTGTGTTGGTAGCTACATGTTTAAAATTAAAACTTTTGGTCCAACACAAAAATTCTCTCACCTAGAGCTTTCGACCAGATACCTTTGACCCAGTGTTGACGTCACACTTCAAAGAAGCCACGTGACAAGCCTCACTGGGTCAGTCTACTGAGGAAGACCAGAGTGACTGGTCGAAAGCTCTAGGTGAGAGAATTTTTGCGTTGGACCGAAAGTTTTAACTTTAAACAATCAAAATATAGTGTTAGGCGAGTTATTTCTATCGTCCTAAATATATGACAGGGTATGGTATGGTGAATACACATTCTGTCATTTTCCTGATTGTTGAATGATTTTTAAAAAAATATCCCCAAAATAATTTGCTGCCTTATTTCTGACATTGCTGTGTTATCATATCATGATCTTCATCAATTTATCAATTCAAGATCTGTACATTTAGAACTAACAACAGCAAACTGCAGGAATTACTGAGTAGCAAAGTTCTTTGATCGGAACCATTTATTTTTCACGAGCCGACGTTTTGATGACCGTCTGTCATCTTCATCAGGGCAATTCTGACTGGTTTACTGTGCACTGACACTAGATGTTACTTGGTGCATAGTGCACTAAAGGTGTTACATAGTTCACAGTGCACTGTTACTTGGTTCACAGTACACTTAAACTAGTTTTTACTGTTAACAATGGATTTCCGAACGTAGTGCAATTGTGACATACATACTAGATGAAGATGACAGTCATCGAAACGTCAGCTCATGAAAATTAAATGGTTGTGATCAAAGAACTTTGCTATCCATTCGTTTACCAACCTGATGAAATTATTTACGGATACAAGAATTACTGTTTTGGATTAGTGTATGTAAGTCGTGCAATAATCTATTTACTAGTACCCATTTTATCCAATCACAAACATTAAAACAAACCACCTTATCAACCAATTAGCAAGTACAAAATTAACAGCATTGAAAAATACATTGACTACCAAAAACTATACACTTTGTAAGATTAAGTATTATCACCATCAGTACTTGAATGTTTTCAATTGATTTGTACAATTATACAAAATGTATACGCTTTGAATGGAACATTGGACACAGTGATTTTTTGTAAGAGGAGCAGTAAACTAAAATATAGATAAACAAAAAACTTATATTAAAAGTCAAAATCATAACTACAAAAAATACTTGAGGTGCAGGAGACAGTTTTGCATTAATATAACTAAACATTTTAAGCCTTCTTAGCTTCTTAAAACATGCTACTAGGGTTGGCAGTGATAAATAAAGGTATCGGTAAATTAAAATTTGAAAAGTGAAAAAAAACAGTGTTCTTGCTTAGCATACCTCATTGAAAAATTATTATGGACAAAATACTCTAAAATATATAATTAGCTCCAATGAATGTCCATTTCATATAAGCACTGTGATTTGCTATCCAAGGTAGTTCAAATCTTTCTGGAAAAAAATGGTCACCTTGAACTTCCAGAAGGGTTAAAGTTGGTGAGTTTTACATGATTATTTCCGATACAAAACCATTATTAACTTCTTCTAAATCTAGCAAAAAGTTTCAAGCATTATTTTACACACTTCATACTAGTAGCTCATGACTCTATCAAACACCTTTCTGCAAAATATATTTGCTACAATGACACTGCATAACGTATATGTACATCTTCGACCATTGGATTTTCCTTGTCGTCGTTTTTGGGACCTGTTACGTTCTATACGCGAAAAATGAAATCATTTTTTTACCTAGACTCTGGTATTTACAATACCTCATATTTATAGACTAGGATATACTTAATGTCCTTGTTGGAAACCACAAGAATTATGTACAAACCTATGAACAAATGCTAACTTGTATTACAGAATTCAATCATGTTGAAACATCTAGTTAATATATTTTGTGACACCTGTTTTCATTTTGTTGAATATAATTTTGGTCTGAGAAAGCTTGTATATGAAAAAAAAGTGATTTATATTTCATCCGTAAGTTTACAATGTTATTACCGTATCACTGTAATTTTGCATTTTCTTGTTAACTGTTAGGCCACACCAATTTCATTTCTTGGTTAACGGATTCGCCAGCTTCATTATTTTTCTGATTTGCAAAAAAAAAAAAATTTAGAATCAACTGTAAAATGCTCATATTTTGCCCTGAACAGTTGAAAACAGTCCTTTTCTTCCTAGTTGTTACAGTCATTCCATCTTTCAATGCAGTAGTATCATTAAAAGTTCAAAATTCATTGTTTAAATTTTAAACCAGCCTGGTGTGTTGACTTCATATGGCTCCTATCGTACCATTTTGGGCCATAACAGGATGCCTATAGGCCTGTTTTTATTTTTATTTTTTTTCGCCCGCCTGCTCCATTATTTTTCTAGAAAAATCCGTTAACCAAGAAATTAAATTGGTGTGGCCTTTCCATGACATAAAGGCACGCCATGAAATAAAGTTTATCAAAAGTAGCACATTCACCTCAAAAACACTGGCAAGCCACCTGCATTCATAATTCTAAGGATACAACACTGATACACAGCAAGTACAACCCTGTAGCATTGAGTACTGAGTGGTAACATTCAAGCAACTTTATACTAAGTCTTATACCCATGATTCCAGGATTAAGGCACGTTATATATCTTAGTCTGATGTTATGTTATACGGTAAGACATCTAACTAGAGCAATCAGTAAATCAACAGAAAGTATTTTCAGAAAAAGAAAACCCCTTTGATGAGTAAAAACTGTCAGTGCAATTTGAAAAGGTTGTAGTTGGTCTCATAATACATGTAGTTGATTTGGATGACATATTAACACATCATAATGACATAGGTTTGGATGATGTACTACAGGGCTCGAAATTCATTTTTGGGAATAGGTGCACTGGTGCACGCAACCAAAAAAACTGGGTGCACAATTTTTTTTTGCTTGCACCATATAAAATAAAATTAGTAGAATGTCAGCAAAAACAAATTATGTTTCATTTCTAAAGAAAAGTACTAGCACAATGATTTTATTATTTTTCTGACACTTAAGATGTTAAGAATGTGTTACTACTATATATTTAACATCTAAAATGTAAACCTACAAAAATATTTGCGTGCCCAGAGAAATAGATTGGGTGCACTAAGGTACACATGCACCCAGTATTTCCAGCCCTGCGTACTAACACGTCATAATGACATAGGTTTGGATGACGTATTAAAACGTCATAATGACATAAGTTTGGATGACATACATGTATTAACACGTCATAATGACATAAGTTTGGGTGACGTACACGTATTAACACGTCATAATGACGTGGGTTTGGACGATGACCTTGAACGACCTTGATCCTCCGGCAGGTGCATGGGCTCCAGCTCGTCTTCGATGTCCCCATCGTCCTTGTCCATCACGATGAGCTGGGTTTTCGGGTCGGCGCCGTCCGACGCCCCCTGTCCCAGGACCACCATCTCCTTGTCGGCAGCCTCCGCGGCCGCTCCGTTTCCCTTCGACGTGCGCGCTTTCTTGAACAGCGAGGCTGACTTGTAGAAGGGAGCTCCCATGAAGGAGGACTCAGTAGCTGCAGGAAAAGAAACGTCAATAAGTACATGGAGAACCATGTAGCAAATAAATGACATACAAAAGACAAAATAAAACTATAGAAGTAACATTTGCAAAGCAAATGCATTATGATTGTTTACCTTCAGACATGGTCTGCTCTGTTAATTCTTACTCAAACACATTCACATACATTTGTACATATACTACTAGTATATGGTGACAGGAGCAGAGCAGACCATGAAATTGCAACATTATGTAACCCAACACCAATTACCACGGTGGCAGACGTCAAGAAATCATGTCATTGGTCAGGTCAGAGGTCACTGTTTGGAGAAGAAGAAGAGGAGGAAGAAACAGAGCAAAAACAATACGTTTTCCAAGATTAAGTGTGGACTAATAAACTACAGTAGTTTCTATAGTAAATGCTTGCCCATGAATCCCTGTGTGTGTGTGTGTGTGTTGATTCCTAAAGTTTAACACATTAAGATTTCTAAATATTCAGAAAGTCTCCATATGACATATTCAATTATGCATACTTACAGACATCATAGTCAGGCCTCCTGGGATCAAATCTGTGGGGGAAAAGAAATACACAGTCATTTAAACATACTTTTACTACACTAGCAACAGCATTAGAACTGAAAACTTTAGAAATGTCACAATGGAAGACTTTTTTAAGTGATCTTGAAAGAGATTAGCTAAAGTATTTTGATGATCAAATATAGAGTCATTCTGAGATAACAAAAGAGATTTGATCATCTTAACTTATCCGCCCTTAGCCAACATGAACTCAAATAGGGCCATAGGGTTACTAACGGCCCCATCTTGGGCATTATTAAGATCATAGACCAAGAATCTTGTAAGGCCTATAGAAAGACGAAGGAAGCGGTCCACATCCAGTTGGAACGTGCCGGGATGAGTCGCAATGAAGGTTGGGAGCTGCCCAAGTCCTTTTTACCCCTACTCCGCAAGGAGGCGGGGGAGGTCAGAAGATCCGCACAAGTCTCGACCTAGTCTCGTGTTCTCGCGAGACTAGGTCACTCCGTGAGAAAGGTGTACAGTAGACACCAAAAATTTGGAGGTACGTGATTTTACCTTACAGAAACAGTCACTGATTGATGAATGTTCTACTAACTTAACTGTTGAATTACCAAGATGTTTTGAAGTTATGATTCTTGTAAATTTCCTCAGTTCATGTTCGTATTATTCATTTATTTATGTATAACTTTCAGTTATACTGATTTCATTTACATTTTTTGTTATGTACAGTGTACTTTGTATAATTGCCCCGACGGCAGGACAGTCTGCTATGGGACCGGTGAGGTGAGGTGAGGTGATAATCTATTATTCTTTTACATATTGTATTCCCCCTGGGCCTCCTTGGAAATCAGCTGTTGGCTGAAGGAGCTACCCAGGTGTCATTGAAGATTAAATAATAACCAAGACACTTTAGCAGATATTGATTGACAGCAGTACTTACATGACTGAGGGAAGTCGTCTCCACTTCCTGATCTTGTCCCGTCGTCTCCAGGCACAGACACCGCCGACAACCAGCAGAACCAGAACCACCAGGCACACCAGAACCGCTGGACAACGGAACATATCAACTATCAATCTCTGACTATCATGAAAGTTCATCTGGTTGGTATTAATAGTAAGACATTGAACTTAATTCCAACACACAATTTAGAAAGAGATCAAATTTTCAGCGACCACTGTCATCAGGATAATTAATGACCGATCACTAATCACAATGGTGATCTCGTGAGAGTTACGGTTACAAACACGTGACCTTATTCACACGAGACTTTACAGATACGTGATGTGAGCAATTGATCAAAAGTGCCAGGGAGTTTTATATCGTCCACCATCTCTATTAATTGAAGGCTGAAGTGCTCTGATATATATGGCCTCCTTAATGCCTCTTAGAATCAATCAACCATCAATCTCTGCAATGTCAGCAATAATTGCACTTATAATACTCCATACATGCATAATACTCTGACAACTCTGTACTCCGTACATGTACAAAGTAGGTAATTTACAATAAAGAGCATAAGTCATACCTATGATCACTTTTGCGTTGTTGTTGGATGCCGGCTTGTTTACAAGTAGAACTGTTTGATAGAAGATAAATAGAATGAAAATCCTGATAAGTTGTCCACTTGTTGTAGAAAATATGACATATTCAAACAAAACAATTACAATAATTATTATAATTGTACTTCATTCACAGTTGTGTTCTTCCTGAATGATGAAGGACATGTAATTAGAATTACTGGTATATCGGTAAAAGTTCATTGAAAAATTATGGTTAACTCGTAGTAGCTTTGCCATGTTCCTACGAATGCGAAGTAGATATGTATGTATGAATGGTTTATTCATTGTGCGAATATAAACTCGTCGCAGCCTTTAGCTGAATTGTGAGTTCATGTACATATACAAATTGCACAGGTTGACATAAACAATCAAGGTGACAATACATATTAAAAAGATGAAATACATAATTAAAAGTCGTAATGCATATATAAAAAGGTACAATTACATATTTAAAAGATATAAATTAATTATCAAAGATCAATATCTAAACTAAATGCCATCGTTTAACAGGTTAACAATATACGGTAGAGGGCTATTTTGGTAGCGTTTAGTACGTGCTGGCAATGGGTCGTATTTGTGACTTTGTCTGGTAACCCTCACGCTGACTTTGCCCCTTTGTTGAGGTAACCATTGTTTGTAAGTGTCAGACTTGGACAGGGTCTTGCCGAACTTGTAGCACAGGGTTTCCCGTCTGTCATGCAGAGTTTGTAGGTTCAGGGTTTTGCATGACTGGTCGTAGGGTAGGTTGTGGCCAAGAATGATTTTGGTTGCGCGTTTCTGGATCCTTTCGATCTTCCGTCGTTGCGTTGTCGTGAGACCTGGCATGGGTGCCACACAGGAGCCCCATATTCCAATACAGGGCGAATAAGGAAGCACTAAATGAGCTTGATTGGTGAGGAAACAGTGATGAAATCAAATGTACCATTGGAATAGCGCATCTTTGCAATGATTGTCCATAATACATGTAGATCATTGTCTACTACTGAGTACTAGCTGAAGGTACGGATCATGATGAATAAATTGTGATATACAAGGAGCGTATATTACGTACCACAGTGCTTGTCATCTTGGGGACCCTTGCATGACTTACAGCCCGAAACCTTGTCACAGAACTCGCCCTCAGCACAGCCAATGCACTGATTCCCGCATTTCTTCCCGTAAAATCCATATGGACAGGCTGCCAAGTGACATACAAAATAACATTAACACCCTTAGATTCAACGTTCTAAGCCACGATATAAGCATTGTCTGCCATGGTTAAACTTAGTAAGCAAACATTTGAGTACTTACAGTATGCACTTACAGTCACTTAATAGTACATGTACTGTAACATAACTTTGAGTATTATGCAAATTCATAGGACTGACGCTTCCAGTGTAACCATCCAATATGGCAATTGCGATGTCACATGCAAACATCTGGACATTTGGACTGGCCCTGCTCCAAAATTTCATCAGAAATTGCCACCGCTTATGCTATGACGTGAAAGCAAGGCTGTTTCTGCTCTGAATAAAAACTACACCACTTAAAAGGATAAAAAAAGGGCTACAAAGTTCAGACTTTTAAATATTATCAAAATCAATAACAGCACTACATTAAGCACTTTACTTTTGGGCATTGCAAGAATATATAAGATGGTCTTAATGACACAAAACATGATTATTTGTACCTTTGCAAGTTTTGCCGTCACCGACATATCCGTTCATACAGGTACATGTGTAACTGCCGGGTGGACGGTTGTCACAATATGCATTGTGGCTGCAGGGTTTTGCATTGGGCATACATTCATCAACATCTGTGTTTACAAGAAAAAAACAGTGTTATTACCAGACAATTTTTGGCATGATACATGTTGAAGGATAAAGTTAATAATAATTAGAATCTTTATTGCATGTTCAAGCCCATGTCCATGCAAACATACGAATATGATGTTACATTGTAACTGAGGAACATAGCTAGTTAAAAGAAAAAAAAAGGATAACGTAAAAAGTAAGTAACTACTAAAAGTACATTCAAATCTAGGTCTTGAAAATTTCTCCTTTTTAACTGGAGATGAATTCACACACGTTTTGTATTACATGTACTAGTTTGTCTATTGTATGGTCATTACTGGTAGACATGAGATGACTGAACACTTTCTTCGTTCTACCTTTGCACAGTTTGTCTAACAATGAGAGATATGAGAGAAAGAGAAGGGTATGTACCCAGTTCACAGTGTTCTCCCTCCCATTCCTCCGGACACGTGCACTCTCCGGTGTCACTGTCACAGTCCCCACGTCCGCTACAGTCACACTGCTTGTCGCACTTTGGCCCGTAATAGTTGCTACGACAACCTGGAAGGTAGGTAATTAGTTACTGGGTGGGCCTGCTACTCTTCTCTTTGCAGGCTGAATTGTAAGGCTTACAATTATTGGGCTTAATCACAAGGCTCCGTCATTTGGCGCTAACTTAGGTGACCTCAGGTACATTGTAATGCCACAAAAAGTAAATGTTATGGATGAGATCTGCGTTTGCATTAATATTGATTTTAGCCTGATTTTAAATACAAGAAATTTCATTCCTTCCCCTCTCCTTTGAGTTTACATATGCCTACAAATGTTTGGAAAATTTCTTATCTTACTAGACATAATTGTATCTTAATGATGAGGCAGTAATTGTGTAAATGTACTACTGGAATAGTGCCTCTTTATAATGACTGTCCTAAGGTATATTCATTATTGTCTAGCCAGAAGCATCCACCAATCAGAAGGCTCCATTTTCCATTTCTAAGCTATGCTCACTCGGTGGTTTATTCGGTGGTTATCACACCAGACTAGGGATTATCTCACCATAGACACCTTGGGGCCATTAACCCTTTATTGTCAACTAGCTGAAATTAATGGTCATACGACTCATGCATTATCACAAGAACAAACAGTATCATTATCAGAATTCCTTACTTGCTACAGTGAGCTCAGCAGTTGTTAGTTTCTCATTATTGTTTCCAAGGTCGATGACACAGCTGTAGTTCCCCTGGTCTGCCTTAGTGACGTTATAGATGTAGAGATGGTAGTCTCCATCATGCATCTCTGCCCACATCTGCTTGGTCTTCTCCTTGTCCAGGGAAAGGCTGTCAACAAACAGGTTGTTGTTGTTGTTGTTGTCGATGCCGTTCCTCCAGAAGAGCAGGGCTTGTCCCAGGTTGCGGTACTGACACCTGAAGTGAGCTGTCTGCCCTACACGGAGTTTCATACCGGTCAGAGTCTTGTAGAAGGCTCCATCACTTCCCCTTTCTGTAGGTAGAAACAAAAATTGTATAAATGTGCAATAGCTCAATTGGTAGAGTGCTCGCTTTGTAACCGGGAGGTCGTGAGTTCAAACCCCGGCCGGGTCATACCAAAGACTTTAAAAATGGTACACACTTCTTTCTCTGCTTAGCACTCAGCATATATGAGAAAGAGTGTGGGAAGGTCAAACACACAGCACTACCAGCGGACTAGCCCCCTGCTGTAGTGCCTTGCACAACTGTGTGTCGCCCAAGGGCTACGGAAATGGACATGCATGGGCACCAACCCTATGCTCTGCATAGAGCACGGGAAACCTTTTGGCCTATGTAGGCACTCCAAACTTGGAGCTGTGGACCCTTTTTTTCTGTGGGTCCCCCTGTGGTGCACCCAAATATTTTTGTGGGTAGTTTTTACATATCAAATGTACTGTATAAGGATATTCTTGGCATCTACATGTCCATGTAAGTGTCCGAAAAATGATACATTCTAGTTACTGTAGTACATGTAAGATTTTGAAGGTAGCTCCATTTTGGATTCAAGCTCAGAAGAGGAGCAGTAAGATCTCTAATTATGTTTTGTTTAATATGGTGCACCCAAAAATTTTTTGTGCGCCTAATTTTCTAGTTAGGTGCACCAGTGCACCTATTCCCAAAAATGAATTTCGAGCCCTGAATGAGACAGTGTAACAGAGATGGGGGATGACATAAACTAAAATACTTACGGGCACAGAAGAATCCGTCACCGACGTACCCAGAGTTACAGGTACAGGTGTAGGAACCCTCTGTGTTGGAGCACCTCGCGTTCTCATGGCAGTTGTTTGTATTGTTGGGACTGCATTCGTCAATGTCTGTAAATAATCAACATTTATCAACAAGTGTCAATCATTTGGTTTGTTACTGTTTGTACTTTTCTTATGTAATTACTATTTCCAGTGTCATATTCATCTCAATCATTTTGAGTAATTTTGATTCAATTATTATCTATGGAAGACAAAACTTTATAGACAATAATATATCAAATCAGAATACTTTAAACTCAATTCCAAATTTTAGACATTTCTAAAATTCTGAGTGAAAGTGACCGACCCTTAGTAATTTACCAGTACTTTACACTAGATTATTCTCTTTTTTGGCGACGACTCAAGGAGGAGCCTAATGGTACAGTATTGTGTGCAGTTTGCAAGAATTCTAGAAATGGTACAGGCATTTTGTCCACAGAAATGGAATGTCCACAGGAATGTCTCTGAAACACATCTATGCCCACATCCTGGAAACCCTTGGGAAGACATGTACTGTCTGCCCCGGATGGCCCTATTTTCTGTGACCCCGGGGCTCGTTCATTATACACTCAGGGGAGAAGTGCACTGTATCTGTCTAGACTTAACAGGTACCAAGTCTTCCTCAAAATCATGAAATCATGTTAGTGCCATGCAAACAATAACCCTAACGGCAACCACCGTCGCCATGTATGTTTTCATTGCCAGTCTTGTTCTTTTTAAATTGTTTTCTTCTAAATGACTCACCGTCCTCACAAGTGTCTCCTTGCCAACCTTCTGCGCACGTGCAGACGCCATGTACCGGGTTACAGGTAGAGTTGTGTGCACAGGTGCAAGGCAGCATGCAGTTCCTACCGAAGTAGCCAGGGGGACATCCTAGTGTACAGAAAACAACAAACATGTTAGATTGTACAGTATATGGTGGTAGCAAGGAGCTTCTAACCCTCAGAAGACAGGGAACAACAGACAATAAACTCGATAGTGAGTGTGTGTAAGCGTGATGTTGAATGGATGGCACATTCAGCACCAAGGAAAGACTGGTTTGAGCTCTTAAGCTTTAAATGAAAAAAAAGGAGGCAAGTTATCTCAAAACATTTTTGCTCACATACAGAAGAGGTAAATATCCTTCACTGGTTTTGACTACTGAAAACATCATCTATTATTTACAAATTCATGCCCAAGGCTAAGGCTAATTGCTTACAGTTGTATACAGCCAGAGAAGGCAGAACTACTACTACTACTGCTACTACTACTACTACTGCTGCTGCTGCTGCTACTACTACTACTACTGCTACTACTACTACTACTACTGCTGCTACTACTACTACTGTACTACTACTACTACTACTGCTGCTGCTGCTACTACTACTACTGCTACTACTACTACTACTACTGCTGCTGCTGCTGCTGCTACTACTACTGCTACTACTACTACTACTTCTACTACTGCTACAATGCTTGCTATTGTGAAGTTTGACTTCTTTGAAGGCTGTGTGTGGATATTGTATTGTCCCACATTCTGTATAATGAGGTAAATTGAGTGATCTTAGCATATAAACATTAAAACTAAAAACATGAGACTTTTGAAACTCACTCTCGGTGCAGTGGGTCCCTGTCCATCCGTCAGCACAGTCACACATGCCGTGGTATCCACACTTCCCTCCGTTCACACATGAACACTTGTTCTCACAGGCTTGTCCGTATGTACCCGCTGGACACTCTGGGTGGGAAGGGCACAATAAATTTATTCATTATTGTTTTTACTCAGTTTCTTCCTCCTCTTCTGCTCCAAACACTAACCTCTGTCCTGACCAATGACATGATTTGTTGACGTCTGTCACCATGGTGACTGGTGTTGGGTTACATAATGTTGCAATTTCATGGTCTGCTCTGCTCCTGTCACCATACACTAGTAGTACATGTATGTGGATGTGTTTGAGTAAGAATTAACAGAGCAGACCATGTCCGAAGGTAAACATTATGCATTTGCTTTGCAAATGTTACTTCAGATCTCAAATAAAAAATTCAGTTTTCATTTATTTCTGTGTTGTCTAACCTGGGTAGCACTACTCAGTGGCTAAGCACTGCTTTACAGAGTGGCCCTGGGTACATGTATACAAGTTACTATTACTACTATTTCATTTGATTGTTGATGAGTTAGTTACGATTTCGTCTTGTTCAGGATAAGTTTATTTTTAGTTGACCTTTGTTAGTTCATTCTTAATCTATTGTTATAATTACAATGTCATGTAGTTTTGTTGGGGTTATCCCCCCAGGCATCTTTGAAAAGCGCCAATAGGCGACATGTATTTCCTGGTTAAATGGATAAACAAACAAACAAACCTTCGGAACAGTTGGAACCCTTGTACGGTGTGCGGCAGATGCATTGGCCAGTCTCGTGATGACACGGAGAGTTGTTCTCACATGCGCACTGTTTACGACAACCATCTCCATAGAAACCAGACGGACAGCCTGGAAGAAGACAATTAATTTGCATATAATCAGAATACAGAAAGTTTTTTTTGAAAATGCAACAAGTTAGAACAAAAATTGGATAGAAGATTATCTAGAGAGAAGGAGGACAGGTAAATGAAATATATATGTTTTGATAGAAGAGTAGGTTTCTTCCCCTGTATAATCGGATGAAAACCATTCTGATGTATTAAAGGGGTACTGTGAGTGAGTGAGTGAGTGAGTGAGTGAGTGAGTGAGTGAGTGAGTGAGTGAGTGAGTGAGTGAGAGTGAGTGAGTGAGTGAGTGAGTGAGTGAGTGAGTGAGAGTGAGTGAGTGAGTGAACGAGGGGGCGAGTGAGTGAGAGTGAGTGAGTGAGAGTGAGTGAGTGAGTGTGGGTGAGTGTGTGTTAGTGAGTGAGTGAGAGTGAGAGTGAGTGAGTGAGTGAGAGTGAGTGTGTGAGTGAGTGAGTGAGTGAGTGAGTGAGAGTGAGTGAGTGTGAGTGTGTGTTAGTGAGTGAGTGAGAGTGAGAGTGAGTGAGAGTGAGTGAGTTGAGCTTGTCTTAACCACCAGGTGTTTTTGACTTGCTGTTCCTGTAACTGACCAAACATGTACCTAGAAGTGGTCACTTAACTTACAATGTGTAAATTGGTTAAAGAAGAGGAAATATTACTCACGTTGTCCACAGGTGGGTCCAGTAAACCCTTGTGGACAGGTACACTGTCCATCCCTGTTGTCACAACCATGGTTGTCAGGACAGCGGCTACAGGTGAGGGTACAGTCTGGGCCATACTTCCTGTTAGCGCAAACTAAATACAGAAACAAAACTCATGTATTAGTGCATTACATATTATAATATAGCCGGGTAACGTTGACCAATCAGAAGGCTCCATTCCACATGGCTTATGATGCCATAATGTGACAAATAGAGTCAAAACAGGTCATTATTCATCCCAATCCATACATTAAACAATCCAACAATCACCCGCAATTGACCTCGGGTGACCCAAATAGAACACGACTCAGTTCCAAAAAATCCAAAAATAACTTATGTTCCAATGACGTCTGGTGACCCATAAGAATAGTGTTCCCTGCCAATGACCCAAATAGAACACGACCCTGCTCCAGTGACCTCAGGTGACTCCATATGGAAGTTTTTATGTGCTATACAGGAATGTGTCACTCACTATTCGGCTTCATTCGGTGGTTACAGCAACTGACAAGGCTTTATCACACCATATTCACCTCGGGGCGGGTCAATAATCCTTAATTAACGCATAGGGTAAAACAGGCACATTGGATACGTACTTTGACAGGTGCTGCCAGAAAAGCCGACCTCACACTGGCACGCCCCCGTGTCTGGGTGGCACGATCCATGTTGACAGTTACACGTCTGGTTACAGGTGGCTCCGTAGGCTGTACCATTCTCACAGGGGTTGTCGCAGCGCACACCTGAAGTAGTGAAAAGAGTTTTCAGACAAATTCTTGTTTGGATGAGAACTGATTGAAAGAAACCCAATAATTTTGCCTGTTGCAGACGATATCTTTTCTGACACAACATTTGGAAACTACAGACGGGATGTTAGCCTTATACACGCAAATACAACCTTATATGAGACGTTCTGCTGAAATGCTATGCACAATACATTACGAATTCCGTGCAAGTACGTACGATCTACCGGCGTGCTCCGTAAAATTAACGTAACTGACCAAACCAGCCGTCCTCGCACTGACACTGTCCGGTCCTGGCGTCACATCCTGAGGCGTGCTCACCACAGTCACACCGATTCCCACAGCTCAAACCATAGGTCATGTTCTGGTGGGAAAAAGATGTGTGAGAACTAGAAAAATAACATTTGCAAAGCAAATGCATAATGTTTACATTGTACCTTTGCATATGGTCTGCTCTGTTAATTCTTACTCAAATTCATATCATATATAATTACACATTCATATACTAGTATATGGTGACTGGAGTCTAAATCCCTCCTGCTATAATATTGCAACATGGTATAACCTAACACTAGTTACCATGGTGACAGACTTCTGGTTCAGGTCATTGACCTTACTTGTTTGGAGGAGAAGAAACAGAGCAAAAACAAAGAAACAGAAAGACACTCCTGGTCCAGGGCCGGGATTGAACCCACACCAAACCTGAGCACCAGCTTCATAACCCGACACTGGATAGTAAGGCCACACCAATTTAATTTCTTGATTAACGGATTTTTGTAGAAAAATAAAGGAGCGGGCGGGCGAAAAAAATAAAAACAAAAACAGGCCTAGGCATCCTATTATGGCCCAAAATGGTACGATAGGAGCCATGAAGTCAACTCACCAGGCTGGTTCAAAATTTAAACAATGAATTTTGAACTTCTAATGACACCACTGCATTGAAAGATGGAATAACTGTAATAACTAGGATGAAAAGGACTGTTTTCAACTGTTCAGGGCAAAATAGGAGCAATTTACAGTTGATTCTGAATTTTTATTTTTATTTGAAAATCAGAAAAAATGAAGCGGGCAAATCCGATAACCAAGAAATTAAATTGGTGTGGCCTAAACATAATTGAACTGTAGCCCACCGTGCAGGTTAGTTCACAGTTGTCCCCAGAGGTACCCGGGGGACAGAAGCAGGTACCGTCGATGGGCTGGCAGGTGGTGGCGTTGGTACAGTTACAGGACTGCAGACAGTTCTGGCCAAAGGTACCCGCAGGACACGTCAGCTCACAACGGTCACCCGTGTAGCCTTGACAATACAATCAAAACAAACATTAATGATTATTAATAAACATCAATGAAGTTTAAACATCCTTTTTCCTTATTTCACTTATTATTTATTTTGATTTCTGAATGATTGATTTGATATTATTTGATGTATGCCTATTTTGGTCCACTTATTCTTCTGTTACTTAAGTTTGTGCATAAGTTACCATATTTTAAATTGCCCATTGATTGTACATATTAAGCTTTCTTCAGTGATTACTTTATGTTGTATTATATTGCTAAAAAAGTAAGATTTCTTTTATTGTGTTTGGGGATTGCCCTCCAGGGTGATATATTCTCTGGTTAAATAAACAATAAACAAACAAACAAACATCCAGGTCTTGAGATTATTATTAAACAGTTACTCTAGCAACTAGATGGATTCAAAACCTGTTCAAAGTCAATCAATTTGCATGAGTATACAGCCATTACTATTGTTGAAAATGAGTTAGAGATCATAGTACTTCAAGGCAAATACACAGCACAATATTCAGTTGATTCATTTATTTATTTATTGGCATGTGTAGAACAAGATAGAACAAAAAAGTAAGATTTCTTTTTTTCCCCATTTCACAAGGGAATAGATACTAGTACATGTACTCCAATCATTCTGTATGGTTATTTTAGCAGTCTTACAAAATGGTGTCAGAAGTGGGATTCACTTGAAAATTTTGAAAATGGGGCTTCAAAGGAACATCTTTAACTGTTGCCATAGTTACTGCTAAAAAATGGGGACGGGTGAGCTCAGCTGACTGCCCATGTGGCCACCCCTTTTTTTTGTTGTTGTTTTTTTCTAAACCGAATTTAACGTTGTTTTTCCCCAACCGGGGGTTAGACGTGCTTGCACCAAGTACAAGTCTTTTTTTGAAGCAAGATTTTTACGGCTGGATGCTCTTCCTAACACCAACCCAAACCCTAGTAGGACCCAGGAACCCTTTAACTGAGGGGGGAAATGCGTGTTAAGTGCCTTTCCCAAGGGCACAACATCTGGGTGCATGTCCGGACATGTCTGGGTCCAACCCTGGGCATTGAACCTGGGTCTCCTTGCTTGACAGTCGGACGCTCTGTCCACTACACCACACGTATGCCACCCTACCCCATCAATATGATGATGATGATAGTTACTGCTCACCTGGGGGACATATACACATCCCATCATACTTAGAACAGGTGGCTTCTTGTGTACAGTCGCAGGTCCTCTCACAGTTATCTCCATATTTCCCGTCTTCACACGGAGTACAGCTGAAAAATGACAACAACAACTTCATGTTTAACTATGAAATAAAGACTAAGCTTTAACTTCCAACACTTAGATTACAGAATTGGGACTTAACCAAATTTTCGGTTGTCTCCATCAACCTTGTTCACGTGTCTCTGACGTCACGTTCCAAGAGTAGATGGGTCCATTCCGTGAACAAGGTTGATGGAGTCAACCAAAAATTTGGGTAAGTCCCAATTCTGTAATCTAAGTGTTGGAAGTTAAAGCATTATTTCATAATGACTTGCACCAACACTTAACTATTAACACTGCATTAAAGTCTCAAAATCAAGTTAAATTTGCTGCACACTGCTTTCGAGCCAAGCAGGAAATGGTTTCATCTGTTGTCACGTGCAAACCAAGTGGCAGAGTGCACTGCAGTAGCAATTTTTAAAGTCAATCAGTATTTTTGATCTTAATGTGTAACCAAGTTTTAATGCCAGTAATTGTAAATAACTTTGATGATTTTTATTGTATACCAATGAATTTAAAAATAAATTAATTGTACAACAGGATGTAATTCGGCCTGTGGCTGCAAATTCCTTGTTTTATGAATAAATCAATCAATTGATCGATTTATTTATTTATTTATTTATTTATTTATTTATTTATTTATTTATTTATTTATTGATTGATTGATTGGTTGATTGATTGATTGAGCCTCACCTCCTATCATTGAGATGTCCTGGAATACAGGTGCACTGTCCGGTGGTGTGGTTACACTCCTGGCTGGCGGTACAGTTGCAGACCTGCCCACAGTCAGCTCCGAAGAAGCCCAGTGGACAGATCTCGTCACACGTCTCCCCGGTCCACCCAGGCTTACAGTGGCACGCACCTTCCCAGGCCGCACAGCTGAGGGAAGAAGGACATTATGATTTAGGCCTAGGAAAAAAATATTGTGTTTCCTGTTTCAGTCCTGAAAAAATTAGGGTCAGTAGGTAGGGATTATCTTTTTTTTCTTGTTTTTTTTTACCTCTAATCAGTGATATCTATATAGGGGTCCATCTTATACAACTTGAATACAGTTAAACAAAGTAAAACTTGCATGAGGACACTTTTATTTTCAATGTGAATGTTAGAAAACCAACTGTACAATGTTTTATCACTCAGGTGTCAGACCATGGAGCTAGAAAAGGTTGACAAGCTTGAAAAATTATTACCCCTTGCAGGGATCCACCCCCAAAAAAGTCTAGGGTCAGCAGGTTTTTCTAGGGTCGGTCGCAACATGTAGGAAACTCTTTCATTTCATTTCTTTTCCTAGGCCTTAAGACTACTCGGAAACCAAAAGATTTTAACAGTATTCAATTGATATAAATATCTATCAGTTTGTTTAAGTCATTACTGGAGGTTGTGTATGCCATGTCAATTAGGTTCAGGCATTCATGTCCCCCACTCCCACCCCCAACTTTACACACAACCAAAATAAATGGTAGGTTATTACTTAAGAATTGAGACGAAAGAAATTATGAAAATTTTACTCACTTGATGGTATTTGAGACGTTACACTTGCATTGGAAACAGTTGGGAGAATTATCGTTGTTGGTGTAATAGTTGTCTTTGCAAACTGGAAAAAAACAGACATGAATTAACACCTTTTTTTCTTGCCATCCTATATTCAAATGCACATAAAATGCAAGGAAGGTAGTAATCTTTTAAAATGTTCACTAATCACCTCTTTCTGAGCACAATTGGCCCATCTGTCCTCGACCACAGCTGTTTGGAAAAAAAGGAAAAAGACATTCATTAAAACAAGGAATATCTGAATATTACACATGACATATTACTTATTTATTTTATTTATTTATTTTTATTTTATTCACATGGATTTTTGAGCATTGGATAGGAAGCACTTGTTGTGCTTATGTAAATCCGCTGCTCATAAAACATAATACAAATGTAAACATAAAGATGACATAAAGTATAGCATTAACATAAAATGAAAGTGGCTGGCGCACCAATACCTAGCATGACATTATTGAGATTGGTCAAATCTTCCAGAGTGGTGGATATAGTTAAACACAATATCAAAGATACGGCAGTTGGTAGGGTAAGGGAGGCTGGGGCTACCTGTAAGAAGTAAAGTACATAATGTGGCGTCGTTTACGTTGAGTGGGTCGGAAGGAAGTAAGTTTTCAAGATGAAGGCAAGATATGGATAACAACATTTTGGTCCTTTCAGTATTATAACATTTTACTTCACCTTATCATCATAATATGAAAAGCACTTTAATATGTTACAACTGTGAATGAGATGTGAAGCTGTCTCTTTATAACTCTGCTGCCAGTTTCATGGCAATTACAGTAATGTTATATAAAGAGTGATGAAACACAAACTCTAAAAACTCCCTACTGTCGAATGTCGGTCTTTTACATTATTACAGAGTTGAGTATAATGGTAAGATAAAGTTTGATGGCGTAGGATTTATATAAAGAAACTATTGTACAGGCATGGTACCTGACAATCCCAAATAGAATTTGCAAAATTAGAATGAGGGGCTGCCATGAAGTCAGGCCTTAAAAAAAATTAACTTTTCTTCCTACTGTCCCCTCACTGTCCAGAAAATAAATTTCAATTGTCCCGAAGTGAGGATGAACAGTCCCAACCTGTTTTTTTTTAAATTTTTGGAAGTATTCTATGATGATTTCAACTTGAAGTCAATATTATTTTGCTTATGTTCACTCCAAGGTTCACTATAATTATAGAGTACTCAAATTTGGGGCTTTTCTGGAGCCAAAAGCTGGGATGTGTGCCTGATCAACGAAAGAAGTGCTGACATTATGATGTTATATTTCTACTGTCCTAGAAATGTCCCAAAGTGACTTTCTAGTTGTCCCGGCCTAGGGGTCAGTGGCCATCAGGACATCCTTAATTTCTAGTCCTGGAAGTTAAGAGAAGGGACCTGAGGACAGGTACTCACCTACACATTCCGTTTGTATGCAAACAGTCACTACCCTCTTGGCATGCACATGTCTGTAGACATCCCCCTCCGTACTTACCAATCTCACACTCATTCTCACATCTGAAACACAAAACATGCATGATGTACAAAATGACTAATAAACTGGTGGACGTCCCAACTACTAAGTACCTAATACCAGCCCAGAAGAAATTCCATGCCTTCAAGAACCAGAGTTATCAACCAAGGATTGAGGTGTTCAAGAATTCATTCTTTCCTAGAACTATTGCAGAGTGGACTTGACTCACTGTCACCAAGTACGGTAAGGGCATTATCATTAGATAGCTTTAAACAATGTTTAGAGTTAGATGTTGAAGGGTTAGGTGTAACAAATTGATCGGTGTAATGTAGCCAGCTGCCGCCGCGCCGCGTGCGAAGCTGGTGTGTTACGTTGAAAGGCAGTTATACCGCCTATACAGAATACAGATACAGAAATCAGAGGTATAGATCTTATTATCACAATGATACTGTAATTCCTGATTTGTTCACTGTACTGATAAGTTCACTGTTTTCACTGTTGCTTCTGCACAGTGAACTTATCAATACAGTTAACAAATAATTCCCGGACTTTCTTTTTCCTACAACTGTCGCCACCGTGAACATATAGTTACGTGAATATGTCCATTTTTCTCAGACCGTGAAATTTTGCTGCCGTGAACATAAAGTGAATTACAGTATATCATATGTATGGAGTTTTTATTCTTGGTGTATTTGTCTGTTTGCATGTGTATTTATACTTACCTGGTATTTACTTTAAGACACAATGGAATATGTAAAGACTTATGAGAGCAAAATTTACGATAATAAATGAAACAAGAAATTAATTCTCAATACATTTCTTTTATTTCAAGGAAACTTCCCGATACAAAAAGCCATTACATTGTAAAATAATGTAATAAAAGTTACATATGCAAAATGTTTCAAGTGTTATAATCTTAGACATGAGGAGCAATCCCCGGGGGAGGAGACATCCTTCCGCGGAAGGGTTTTGTGAGAGATTTAGATTTTCATGTTCGTAGCCGTTTCTCTTGTTTGGGTGGACGGATTCTTTTGAGACTCAGTATATGTTTTGCTATTGGGCTGCAGATAATGCACGTCCTTTTGTCTTTATTGCATATGTGTTTTCAGGCGTGAAAATGGTGCCTATTGGTGGCCCCAGAACTCCCCTTTGAGCATGAAAGTGGTCGCGACCATTGACCTTTGGCGTGTATTAGGTATTGGCGGTCTCGTCCACGAAAGTGACCCCGCGCAACAATTGTTGTTGTAAACAACATGTAAAAATATACAATAAAAAGCCCGGAGGTAGAAAATCTCAGATTTTACTTGTTTCAAAATGTATTCTCACCTGATGCCCACGTAATTATAACCTTCTGTACAGTGGCAGGCTTTGTGTCCCACATTCCATGTTCCACCATGGTAACAGGTTGTGTCTAAACAAAACAAAATCTTGTTGTTAAGGCCATAACAATTCAATTTGTTGTTTCTCAGATTTTTCCATTAAAAATATGAAGCGACTGGGCGAAAAAATAAAAATAAAAACAGGTCTAGGAGCCATCAAGTCAAAACAAAAGACTGGGTTAATAATTAAACAATGAATTTTGAACTTTCAAGCATGATAGATGGAAAAACTGAAAGATTTACTAGGAACAAGGAGGTTAAATACATTTAACCTCCTTGCTAGGAAGAAAAGAACTTTTCTCAACTGTTCGGGGGGGGGGGGGCAAAATAAGAGCATTTTTTAGTTTATTCAGTACCAGAATCTTTTTTTTTTTTGCAAATCAGAAAAATATGAAGAGGGAAATCCGAGAACCAACAAATTAAATTGGTGTGCCTTAAGTATGAAAAACATGTAGAAACAAAACGTGCTAAACAAAAATGCAATGTTAATGAATTTGAAGGTAAAAGATACTGTTACTGCATGTTCAAAACAACTTAATCTACCATTGAAGCATTACCGACATGCCTGAATTTTAATACCGTTCTGCAATGCCTGGACAACCCCATGCAGACCCTCTTACACACAAGTTACAGGGGGGTATTCACCTTTGACCTCGTATATAGGTGCAGTTAAAACTATGTGCCAGCTTATTCGGGAAAATAAATGTACAAACGGCCAATTTTCTTCGTCTTCCTTCGTTCACCAATAATTGTTACCACTTATTGATAAAATTGATAGTGCTGCCGGTTCTCTGAGTCTTACAAATAACGGAATGAAGCTACAAAAGTTGACTTACTTATGTTGATGTTAGCACACTGGTCGCTGGGTGGGTCGGTATCACTACAACACGTCTGGGTCGACTTGCATGTGTCTGGTTCGTTACAGCGTGGGTAGCAAATAGCTGTGGGTGTAAAAAAAAGATGAGAGTAATGTAGAAACAACAAGACTAGATCGTCTTATCGTTTATCCAAACGATAGAAACGGGAAAACCAAACCTTTTTCACTCCACTGCCTACCGAATCACATGTTCTACGACGTCATTCACGAGTTTCCCATCCCCAGCATGCATTACGAAAACAGGGGTCTAAACCTCATTTGCATAGGACAGGAAGGCATCGTAATAGTAAAAGTACTTTAATTCGACCCATAGTAATGTAATTAATGTTGAGCATAAAAATGCCCCAACGCGTCAAACACTGAAAAACAAGCTGTTTAACGTCACCAGGATCATTCCGATGCCTTCCTGTCCTATGCAAATGAGGTTTAGACCCCTGTTTTTGCAATGCATTCTGGGAATGGGAAACTCGTGAATATGCGGTGGATTGTTCGATTCTTGATAAAGAGACGGTCAAAAAGTTTCTAACTTTTTTAAAAATTGTTTGAAAACTACAGTTCATTTCTGTTCGATAATTTATTCACTCTTTAACAATAGTTAATTGGTTTATTGTATAAAACGAAAGAAAGATATGCACGAAAATATTTATGTTTATGCATGGCACCCCCCTGGACTTTAGAAATGGAATAACCCTAAGCTCTTACGTTCACAGTGGTCGTCCACTTGCTTGTACCCTTCACAGCAAAACGTCTCCATTTTCAACTGTGGTCTTTGGACCGTCCTGTACACTCGTATATATGTAGTGCTGCAAAGATATAAAAGATTAAAGATTCTTTATTGACACAACAAAAAAGTACAGAGACTTTTGTATGGTCTTCTACAACTTAACTAAAGATCTAACAAAGCTAAATACATGTGTGGATAACGTCATCTTACGTACAGAGTATACATGTATGTATGATGTAACAATAAAGGTTAACTATTCTCTAACATGTGTTCTCTAAGATGTGTTCTTTAGTTTAAGGTGAATTACAACAAAGAAATTATCATCTTATTAAATACGACATTTTGTATACAGACACTGTACAAATGCAATATTAAAAGGTTCGAACTTTTCAAACTCTTTATACTAACGTTATGATTGGTGGACAGAAAGCGGGTATCCCACAATTCCCGTCCGTGATGGTGACGTAGGGCTCACGTGTACCAATCAGCTGCGGCGAGACATCCCTGCAAAACCATATAAGGAATTAATGGCCAAATGTAGTTTATTGTTTAAGGATATATATTGTAACGCTGATATACGTAAAAAAAAGACACGTTTTCCTCATTGTTCGTATTCTCTGAATCTATGGCGTATAGTTTAGATTGAGCACTTCACACGAGAAGTTTTAAAACTTTCACAGATTTTTTGTTAGTAGGTAGATTACTTTTGCTATTTTTGATGTACCCGCAATGTTACAGATTTGATAAAGATTATAACTAGAAAGGTAACATTTGCAAATCAAATGCATAATGTTTACCTTCGCAAATTATTAATGGTCTGCTCTGTTAATTCTTACTCAAACACATTCGGTGACTGGAGTCTAAATCCCTCCCGCTATAAAATTGCAACATGATGTAACCTAACACTAGTTACCATGGTAACAGACTTTTGGTTCAGGTCATTGACCTTACTTGTTTGGAGAAGAAGAAGAAAGAGCAAAAAAAATATGCTTCCCTTCGGGTAAATTATGCGAATTTAAGCAGCAACTAAACGCACAACCTAGAGCTATTGGCTACAAACGTATATTTGGTATACTTTACATAATTCACAATTGAGATAATTATATTTTCAATGCACCTTTCAAAAAAAAGAAAAGAAAAAACATACCAAATTTGCCGCCTACAGACGTGGTCGGCGTCCGGGTTGAGTTTGGGATTGAACGATGTGACGTCATTTGCCACGACGGCAAGGAATGCTGACGTCATCAACGTCAGGAGAACACCCCTGAACATCGTCTAGAATATGAAAAAAATATTGTTTGTGATGACGACAATAACATGACAATGTACACATGTAGCTTTTGACATACCAAATAACATATTTTGAAGCGATGATGGTTTTGGTTTTCTCTTTAAGCCCACGATCATGATACATGTATTGATCATTCTGGCATGCTCATTTTCATCTGAGTGAAGTTAGAAAGGTCCTGTTAAGTGCCTTTGCCAAGGGCACAAGATCAGTGACAAGGTAGGGTTCGAGCCCGGAACCTCTTGGCTCCGAGCCGAACACGCTACCGCTACGCCACACAACCCCAACCATAATGCACTCATTTATTTAATTTGATGAAGAAGTTTTTATTAATTTCAAGCAAACCAAAATATAAAGGACAGAATATAATAATAAACAACTTAACGTTACGTTTTTTGTTTGTTTGATAAATTATAACCGGGAAATCTGAGGCCATTTCCTAGCCGACGTATACGTTTGCAAAAACAAGATCATTCAATATACGCATTCAGTAGCGTGCCTAGTCCAGTGGTTAGCGATCCTGCCTCTGGACTAAGAGGTTGGGAGTTTGAATCCCGGCTGTTGTCGCTCACCCGACATGTACGCTACTGTTTAGGGTAGCAGTCCTTAGGACGGGACGTTAAGCCGTGGTCCACTGTTCATTGTGCTTGTCGAAAAGAGCTAGGGGAATTTCCCCGGTACAATGAACCTATAAATACTGTACATAGCATCTGTCTTCTCTGTCACGACCAGTGGAAACTGGTTCGAGATCACTTTCTTTCACTTTCGTACGGATCTCGAAATTACCACCATTATACTCATCCGGTACAAGATAAGCTTCTATGCCTTTTGTTTATCTGCAGGTAGACGATCACGTGTCCATTCACACGTTGCTAGGCGACCCTGTAGCGACTGTCGTCTGATACTTTCTCTCAGCTAATCAAAGTCCAATTTATCGTCTGATACGGACCCCTGGGCAAACTGTTGAGTAAATATTTTCCCTTCAGCGGGCAACAAAGATTCTGAAAACCTTATGTTTTAATATTTTTAGAACTTGTAGCATTTTTGTGACATGCTGGAATATGTATCAGTACGTTAAATTTTGTTTTTGATGCACGCAATGTATGTCATTTGCTGTTTTACACATGTAACATGAATTGTCATGGTCGATATTTCATAATTTCATAAAGAAGATATTAAAGCATTGTTATGGAAAATATTTAAGATATGACAATATTAAAAAACGGTAAAATTAAAAACGGTAAGGCAAAATCAACAATATATCGGATATAAGTACGTTCATATTGATGCACGCAATGTATGTTATAATTGCTGTTTTACACATGTAACATGAATTGTCATGTTCAACGTTTCATAATTTTAAAACGAATATATTAAAGCATTGTTATGGAAAATATTGAAGATATGAAAATATTAAAAATTAAAAACGTTAAGCCAATATCAACAATATATAGGATATAAGTACGTTGTTTTTGGTGCACGCAATTTATGTTATATTTGCTGTTTTACATATGTAACATGAATTGTCATGGTCGACATTTCATAATTTTAAAACGATGATATTAAAGCATTGTTATGGAAAATAATTAAGATATTAAAATCAAAACATAAAATTAAAAACGGTAAACCAAAATCAACAACATATTTTGGGTTCCGTATATTTTCATTCAGACGGAATCTTTAAGGATGATTTCGTTTTGAAAAGACTAACGATTTATGCGATGTGTCTTCAGTATAATTTACTGTCAATTTACTGAGTAAAGACGACGTATGGTTACAGTGCGTGTGTTTATTGTTGGAATTGTTGCACGGGATTTCACGTCAGATGAGGTCAAACACAGAATGACAAAGATACCTTAGGCCGTGTTTATGTGAAGTCACCCAAACCGCGATTCGGGTAACTCACGTGCGCATTCCTCACATCTGGTCCACATGCCACACATTCCTTTGAAAACATCACAATTCGCCTGAGCTACATTTATTGTTGTTTGATGAAAACACGCAAGGTAGCGTGTTATTAATGTCAGAGGTCAACGACCTGCTTGCTGGTGCCCCCCTCCCAGCGTATCTCGGCCGAATGCCGACGTGACGGTCCCGCCAGAGGCGGTGAAGCTCGCCCTAGAACGGACACATTATTTGACCATTACTGCTCTTTAAGTTGCTGCCACGTCAAAGTTGGTATTGCATGAAATATCACCCCGTAATCCATGACCAGGCGAAGTTACATTGAAATCACATTGCGTTCAGACCGATTCGAAACCACCTCTAAAAGTGGCTTGGGATCAAGGCGCTTTCAACGTGATTTGGACCGTTCAGATAGAGCCACTTGAAACCGGCTTCGGGGTAAACCACATGTAAAGCGCCTTTGGGTGACTTCACATAAACACGGCCTTAGTCTCTACCAGACTAACTACGCTGGCTATATATAGGAGAATATTTGCCAGGGGAGTTTGGCCGCCTTGTAGGTTTGATTGGCCGCGGAGAAAAAGAAACTGCCTCCCCGCGGCCGGACTCCCTTGGCCAATTTTACTCTTTTTGTCGAATTCTACGACCCGTATTCCCGTAGAAAGGCCTGGTGGAGGCTAAATATACCTAGTCATTACTATTATTGATTCAACTTCAAAATCTGAGTGTGTAAAATAGCAATATTTCGCTACTGGCAGCTGGCTACTGGGGACTTGAACACGTGGCAGACGCACATTTGAACAGGAACTGTGCATAGCATTTATGTCCACGTCGGTAGACATTCCTTTTAAAACACAAGGAAACCGCGACAAGAAAATGAAGAAACGCAGTATCAATTCTCACACTACTGGGCATATTAGCTATAAAACCATGTGGGTAGATGATATTGTGCGAAGCATTCAACGTACAGTTTTCAACAGGACACGGCACATGACCCTAGTCATGTTATGTGTGTGTGTGTGAGGGGGGGTGGGGGTCAACACAAAATGTCGGCTGTGACGTACACACACAAATATACCTGGGGAATTAGAGATCATTCTCATGTCATGCCTTCAAATATCAGAGTTATCAACCACGAATTGAGGTGTTCAAGAACTCGTATTTCCCCAGAACTATCGTAGACTGGAACTCGTTGCCACCAAGCACAGTAGGGGCATCATCACTAGAAAGTTTTAAACAACACCTGCAATTAAATGAGCAAAGATTGGGTGTAACAAGCCGATCGGTGTAATATAGCCAGCTACCGCCGCGCCGAGTGCCTGTGAAGCTGGTGTGTTACGCCGAATGGCGGTTATACCGGCTATACTGATACAGATACAGATTCTACTAAAACACAAAGGTTAAACTGTTAGAGCTATGGTCTTCCCGTCATAGCTCTTATGCACATGCGCGGTGGTCCCCCTGGGGATCTCTCTGGAGTGAGAGTCTGGATGTGAATACACTATGAGAATGGACAGAGACTGTGTTGGGTCTTTATGTGTCTATTTCTGGATTTTTCTTCTAAATTTTCAGTGGTCTGCTGTTAAGTTTCAGATGTGCTTCAAAGACTTTGTCCCTGTTATTTGAGCGATATTATACAGCGTGGATCTTCAGGGCATGCAAGGATCTTTCGCTGACACTGAGAGCATCTAAAGAATGTCGTTCTTATAGGAAATGTTGACGCCTGAATAGTCTCAGAAAACATTGACCTTTTCCGTACAAAAGACGCCTTACCGTCTTTCTAGCATGCACGGAAACATTATTTATGTTCTGGATCAATTGCAAGTAAGTTGCTATTTCGATGCAGCAAAACTGGAAATATTCTGAATAAGATCTAGACGATCTTTATGATATTGACACATACTGCTTCACATTAACATTAATCAGTATTTCATACTTTGTGCATTTAAAACTGCAGAAACAAGCCCCAAGATGAGTCCTTTATTTTCTGACTGGTACACTAAAAATCAGCCCAGGGCCCTTTGAGTAACATTTCAAAACATCTGAATATACAAAACACAAAGTAACACTGCGAAGCATTAACTTGTATCTTTTTATGGATACGGCAGATCTGAAAAGGTAAATAAATGTAAACACATGAATTTCTTTTAAAATGAAATTAAACGAATCCTTCATCGTATACTATTTGCCATATTGTATAATCGGTGGGGTCGTCTGGCGTAGCTCGACTCGGAACCAAGAGGTCCCGGGTTCGAGTCCTGACATGCCACCGATCTTGTGCCCCCGGGAAAGGCACTTAACACGACTTTCCTCACTTAACTCAGTGAAAATGAGTATTGTCTAGTTCCGTATTTCTCCTCTATCTGCGATGGCGGCGGCATAAAAAAAGTTGATATAACTTGAATGTGCCGTCACCATGTCTAGTCATGAAATGCTGGAATAAAAAAAAAAATTGTACTATTTTTAGAACAGCCCAAAGAGCCTGATAGAGACTATCTAAAAATTGTGATTAACTTGATGAAAGGGTCTACAGACAATTCTAAGAAAACACTTATGAGTCTGTCTGCCAGAAACCTTTAAATTATAGATAAGGAAGACAACGCTGATATCAATATTTAATAACTGCTAACATTTCGTACAGGTTACAGACGCATACACAGAATATTATATCATACTATATGATACCATATCCTGTTTCCGTTGTTTTGTGCATATAGGTAATAAAAACCAGTGAATCGGGAAGGTAAACATTGTATAGTTGTAAATGTCGACCAAGGAAAGACCATATTTGGTGAGTATGTTTGAGCATGTAATATATGGAGGTCAGCGATTGGTTAAAATAGCTCATGCGCAATGGCCTTTGACATTACCTCATTTTGTTGTATGTTCGTTGCAAAATAACAGCCGAATTCTTCCAGATTTAAGTCGTTTTTTTAACTTTCGTAACCTATTGTAGAAGCAGCTAGCACCATACCAATAGAAAACGAACTTTCCCTTTATTCTTACATGTACATTCTCATCGCTTTTTCTTAACAACAATTACTAGTAGTCGAAACTAGAACTGTGTAGATATTGACACCTGTATTTGCTTGCATATTGGATCATTCCACTTAGCAAGGTGGATAGGGGTGGATAGCACAATTTTCTGATTCCCTTTTAGATATAGATAGCCATAGATGCCACTTTTGGGTAAATTCGCCTGAAATTCTTTCTCATTACCTTTAAGAAAAGAAACAAAGATTATATGCAGTTTTTTTTTCGGGTCCCTCCCGCCTAGTTTTGGTACAGTCCTTACAAAAACGTAACAGTAGGGGAGGTCTCCATTGATATACAGGTCAGAGGTCAAACTTTCGTTGTTGCCACAAGCCGTTCGACAAGAAAAACAACTATCTCGAATTCACCACAATTTGTAAAAAGACATTAGCGGCTATGCACAAAAACCATGCACATAAAAACGGGAAAAAACGGGATAAAACTAGTTGTTTTCGATGTTTTTACTCATCAAATACAAAACGTTATTACTCAGTAATTATAATCATTAATAATATATTAGGTTATCGTCTGCAGCGAAATACACTTTGTATACAGAAAATAGAGGCTTTTGATGCAAATTTCTTTGTCTCTGAGTTGAATGCTTTGAAAATATAGCTATGCAGCCAAACAGGTGGTTGTTGCATGTGATATGACATATTTTCAATGCCAGTACTTGTATGATACTCGTGGCTCAAATACAATGCATACATCTGAATACAGTATTTAGCTTTTCAGCTATTTTTGTGACATTGTTCTTTCCCACAATACCCAAAACAACGACTCCACAAAAGCCTGAACCGAGGCATTCGGTTCGACGTTCGAGCACGTACTTAACATTGAAAACACCATTGTAAGAGCTTTAATGATTGGCAACTAGTTCCCGCCAAAAAGGTTACGAACAAAACATCGTCTGCAAGTTGACTCTGTACGACCCTGTACTCTACCGTTCAACTGTGTGTGCATGCACCTGTTCGTATTTTTCTGTGTCAACACAAAGTTTGTAAAGCCTTAACCTGAACGTGCTCCCAAGGCTAGAATATTTGCTGACAGAAAAAAAATTGCACGTAGTCTGTGACAAAAATAGCACAAGTTGTAGTGCCTTTTTTCTTAACTTGTCGTTCGATACTCAAGTTACAAATCATACAATGTAAGCATGTATGGTTGACCTAGTTTTGTATAGTACTAGTACTCTTTTAGTTATATTCTTGCAACGATTTTACCTCAGTAAATGTATTTTACTGCCTTTTATACAGAATTTGAAGCGTTAACACTTGTTTACACTTGTCTACTATCGGTCTAGCATTGAAGTTTGGTAGTTCTGTGTTTTAAATTATTAAAAATTACTGGAGGCCCAAACTGTATGTAAAGAATGGTCGGGAACTTTGAATTATGTTGCAACTGATCCCAGAATAGATTATATTCTATTATAGCGACGCCTCTAGCAAAACAGACTTACTATACATTACTCTGAGCGCGCAAAAATCCGACTTTTAGCCCTAGGGGCAGACAATATATAATGGGCGCAGGTCCGCCTACTACAAGTATGTCGGAAATATGTGGCAGGGGGGCACACGAGGCACACACAGAAAACGAAGAACACACGTGACTCACCACAAAGATAGAAATCAAAGAAAAAACAGGCCTATTCTCATTTGAAACAGTAGTTTCTAGAACTGTACACGTAAACGTGAACTAGAATACTATGTACACATCCGCTTTCAGTATATATTTTTTGGGGGGGGGGGGGCACTCAAGTTTCTAAAGGCCAAACTTTCCCCACTGTCGCGATCTTTCCACCAAACTACTAAATTCTAAGCTTCGATACGATCAGTGTTATCTTTAGGGATCAATGGAGATTAGCAATTCTTGGTAGAAACAGTAGATCTAAGATTAAGTACGCAGTAAATAATGGCCCAAGCATCCGGTATACGTCAGATATAATGACATCTACATCAACGACCCATATTATAGCTTAGACCACGACAGTTTTTTAGTACGCAAAACCGTCCTTTTTGTCGCATATCTGGAGAAAACTAACTTCCTTCGAGGCTCGGTACACAAAATCGACGAATATATGCCCGTATAGTAAGTATTTTGAAAGGGGAGGGTCAAATTGTCTGAACGAATGTGCTGTAGGTTCATGCACACCTGTAGTGACTCATCTCCGCCATTGCTACCTGAATTCCAGGTGTTCATGTCTTCTAGTTCACACTTTCGGTGTCTTTACTGCCTCAAGTTGCGACCTGAAAGAGCTAAGGAGTCTTAAAAATGGCTCGGCGTTGTCTAAGAACGGTGTGACCTAGCGCAAGGTGGTCTCAGTTGAGTAGAAATATGCAAACAGTGACACAGAAAAGGTGTGCTACGTACGCCAGGTGCCCTGACGACTTCCGCGTTCGCCACACTTAGTCGAACAGACGATTTCAAGATCTCACCTCTTTTCCTTCGTCCCAGGCTAGAAATTCCTCCAAGTTTCGTTCCAGAAAGTAGTTGGGTTGTCTTCGCGTGTAGTAGAGTTGACTCGAGTTGTCTGTGATGCGGGAAAAATACGCGAAACGAGCATTAAGTTACATGATTCGTGTGGCGAGCCTAGCTATACGTGCCATGCGACACCGGTGATTAGGGGAGGTACGTTTTTAGTCAGGGGTGGGGGTGTAGTCTTCACAAGACAACTCCAAGCTCACAAACGGAAGATCCCAAAACCAAATTTTGAGGTAAATTAGAAAGGAATGCGGACAAAAATTCCAAGCTAACCTCTGTTTGTTCAGGTAAAGACTTAACAAGACATTCCTGTCTGAAGTTACCTGGATGACGTCATCGGTAAACAAGTCAACAAACGCCGGTAACCCAATATTTTTGTTTGCACTTCTTTTAAGGCTAGCCTGGACCGGGAGAAAGGGGTACGAAAATAAATACTTCAACCAATTACAGGAGGGCTCTCAAAGGGACTGGTGGTAGAAAAGGTGAATTTTGCCCTACTTTTGCGACATTTTATTGGGGTCATTTGTTACGCAGGATTTGATTGGTCGAGCGAGCTAACAATGTGTCTGTTTCAGCCGTGTTTGTAGAACGTGGTTTTCGTTGTTTCCGAAGAATTAATAAAAGTAATCGGTTGGTGAAATAGTTGGGAAACAGAAGCGCACTGACTTTATAGAAGCAGTGCGGCAACAATAAAGACAGATGGCTGCAGCTATGATCATAGTCTGTGTCCTGGTCTGTGTGGGAAGGTCAGAATACGTAGCCTCTGTAGCAGGCTTATAGGACTGGGGAGTTGGTGGTCTTCGGCTGTTTTCTGATTAGCCCAGTTCTAAATACGGAGATAATTCAACCAGGCCGGCTATGTTGTCTATATGCAATCAGAAAATAGCACACAAAAAGCTCCCAAAGACCCTGAAGACGCCCAAAACCTCCAGTTTTGGCATGCCATGGAGGCTAAGAATACTAGTGTCAGTTATATGTATAATTGTCTATTTTTTTTTTTTTTGCTTTTGTCCATTGCTTGTTCCACATAGACGCATGACCAACAGTGGATCACTGAAGTAAGTAGTAGTAAATGGTTTATTGATAAACAAATAACAAATCGGCCTTGCAGCAATAGCTGCACCGAAGCTTACTTAGTCCGGTAAAAGTAAGCTGTCTTCAGACTTCCATGCCTAATTCCAATTGCCTTTATCCGGATTACAAACTCGGCAAACAAAACCTGGTTGGGAAGGCAGACAATCTTAACACCCCCATATTATGATGGTACGGCCCAGAACCTTGACCCCACCAATGGCTCAATTCTTAGAAGTCACTTCAGCCATTTTAACCTTCTCCTTGCTGCCCAATAACCCCATAAATAATTCAAATTTGGCCAAAGATCTACCAAAGTGTCTACTTAATCTATAAGTGCTTACATTTGGCCTATATATAATAATTATTATATTGCTCTTAATGCTCAATCACAGTCGTCATACTTTTTTTACAGAAATACACAGAGTGGGCTTTTATAGGTACTTGCAATACTCAGTAACTGGTCACCTAGTTTAAAAGTTTGGCCAAAAATTTGCCAAATAGACTGAATATTATACAAGAGGAGTCGACTAGATGGTGCCTACGGTTGCCAACTATACTCTCCAACATCTGGTGTACTATTCGGTGTATTTGACCAATTTCTACTTTTTTTTCCGACAGCATGGAGAGCATGGTAAGGCCACAGCAAGTAATTTTTATGGATGACATCAGTGCGCGCATTAATTTTCGCCTGATTTTAATATGGGGAAACACAAGAAATTTTGTTGCCTTCTGACAGTGGTCATCATGCCGAAAATGGGCAAAGATGTCTGTTGCCATGCTGGAAGGTGGATGGCAGATAACTATGAAGAGAGGAGACAAGAAAAGGCTCTGGTTTAATGTTTTGTTTCTTACTTTGATGCAGTGATGCTGGCTGTGTATATGTGATGTTCCCACTGAATCAAAACCATTTCTACAATGCTTGAGTCAACATTTTAAGATATTAATGTAGGAAACTTGTTTTTTTTTCGGCCTGTCTTGTTTTCTTTTCGCCCGCTCGCATTAGATTTGATGTCATCCATAAAATTTACTTGCTGTGGCCTAAAGTCTACCTGACCATGGAGGCTGGTAGAGACTAGAGCTGTCTCAAAGATTGTGGGGTCAGTGACCGTGACCCCCACCCCCTGCGATGTATAACGTACCGTCCCGGCTGTATTGCCCGGGGGTATGGCGGGAACGCTATGCGGACGTCACTAGCGTGTATAGCCGCTGACACACCTGGCTTAACCACCGCAGGTGAGAATAGGCAGACAGGATACGGACGTGTGGGCAAAACAAACAAGCAAGACAGATACAAGATTTATGTGCAGAATTTAATAGCAGGGTGCGTTTTATAGAAGAAGATATTGCACGACAATTACACATGGTACAATGTATGGCAGACTACATAAAGAAAATGATAAACAATAGAATAAATGTGTTGAATAAGACCTAATGTCGAATAAAACCTAACATATCTTAATTACTCAAACAATAAGGGCTAACACAAGTCTTTGATAATTAGTGTTACAATCGAGTGGGCTAATCACAAGTTTCGGTATTTTTTCTAATAACAAAGCATTCCTTTATATATCTACCTATTTTTTGCGTTGTGGGAACCATTTATATGATAGCTATTATCAAAGAAAGACAACAAGCCATGTATTGATATTGTACAAATGTTAAATAAACGCGTGTTTTAACTCCAAAATGAACGCATTACTGTACGGGTAGATTCTCGTAATTGATAGATCACCAACTTGTCTTGTTTGTATTTATCTTGGTTTTACCCACCTTGTAATTATGCATGTACCTTGTCAATGCGTTTTATACTTGTTGTACGTTTTTGGGTAGAAGGAGTTATATAAGCAACTTGTACTTTTTGCCCAATACTCAATTAATATATGTGAATAAATAGACAAAACTAGTATCAAAGAAAGACAACGACAAGTCATGCATTGTACAAATGTTAAATTAACGTGTGTTTTAACTCCAATGTATTTCTAGCTTTTTTAAAGACTATTTTCAATCCTGAACTACTAGTATTGGATCCGGTTGATTAAAATCTTTCCAATAATCAATCTTGATCCTCTACTTTATTATCTTCTTTATTAAAGTATGTGAAGCTTCTTCCCTCAAGAAAAAAATCCTATTTTGCTAAAAAAACAACAAACTAGCTAATGGTAAAGTTAAACAGCAGCCAAACCACTTGCCAAAAAGTTATATTTATACTTAAACACGGCTAACTAAAGCGATTCTTAACTCCTAGTATCATAGTATCGTACTTTGCCAGTTCATTTCGAGTACTGTGTTAAATTGAAAGTTCAATCTCATTCTACCCCAGAGTAGCGTTTAAAAAACCTACGCGACATATAAAACACAAGGATCCAAACAGATACATGTAATGATTCGAAATAAAGAAAAAAGATCCAGAATTTCTAGTGGCAACACAAAATAAAATAGATCATCATTTACGTATACTTGAAAGGTTATAGCACTAAGTACTGTCCCTTCTAAGCAACCCACAATATTAATGGCTAATGTTTTCCAGATCTGTTTTTCTTCATAGTAATTACGCCACAGCGAGTCGTCCCTGAACCTACAGTTTATGTACTTTAGTCACAGCAAGTAATCAGGATGACATCAGCGCGCGCATTAATTTTCGCCTGATTTTGAAAAAAAAAAACAAGAAATTTTGTTGCCTTCTGACAGTGGTCACCATGCCGAAAATGGGCAAAGATGTCTGTTGCCATGCCGGAAGGTGGATGGCAGATAACTATGAAGAGAGGAGACAAGAAAAGGCTTAATGTTCTGTTTCTTACTTTGATGCAATGATATGTGATGGTGGCTGTGTATGTGTGATGTTCTCACTGAATCAGAACCATTTGTACGATTGAATCAAAATTTTAAAATGTAGGAACTTTTTTTTTCGGCCCGCCTTGGTTTCTTCTCGCCCGCTCGCATTAGATTTGGAGTGCGTGGAGGATGTCATCCATAAAATTTACATGCTGTGGCCCTACGCTATTTGGCAGGGTTATATGCCCTCAGTCTATCTTAATTTGTCAAAGTAATTATACTACCTGACAAATTTAATTAGCAGAAACAAGACAGAGATGTCAACGTACGAAAAGGCAACGGAAGGCCAGGAAAGTTTAGAAGAGTTCAAAGAGAGTGGACTAGTCAATTATAGCAGCATTGAGGGGGTGGAAGTGTAAATTTTTTGTTATGGTACCGTCCGACGTAACCCCTGTTATGGTTATGCAAAAAAACTGTTACGGTTATTGAAAAATCGAAAAGAAAATCACGAATAAAATAACATGACATCAAAATGAAATTAACAAATACAATATGCAAAAAAAATATTTAAAAAAATTCATCATCCATTTTTTTAAATTTCGTTTTTAAAACTTCATTTCGCTTTTTGAACTAATACAATATGCAAAAAAAATATATATAAAATATTTTTTAAAAAAATTTTTCATCATCCATTTTATAGAATTTCGCTTTTAAAACTTCATTGTACTTTTAACAGAAAATATTTCAAAAATGGTAATATATGTCATGTGTACATGTATAAAATGTTTTTGGGTCTACTCACTCAAACAAGGCTTTTGAATACATGTATTAAGAATTTTAGTAAAGATTAATATGATATAATCCATTACAAACACAGCCAACAATATAGGTAGCTTCATTTGCAGTGGTATCTATGCCGTACCCTAACATTACCTGGGAATGACGTCATGGATGATCACGAGCTCATGAATATTTAACAAGAAGCTTAAGGTCACACCAAGGAGCTTTCAATAGCTACCAGGGCACACCTGCATTAGGCTTACTGTTGACTGTGGTACATCCGGTCATGTACTAAGTACATAAACTGTAGGTTCAGGGACACTTGCATGTGCATAGGCTGGTGATCAAGCAAAAATAAACTACTTTTAGCCCTTAGGCCATACCAATTTAATTTCTTGGTTAATGGATTCGCCCACTTCATTTTTTTCTGATTTGCCAATAAAAATAAATAATCAACTGCAAAATGCTCATATTTTGCCCTGAACAGTTGAAAACAGTCCTTTTTATCCTAGTTGTTAGTTATTCCATCTTTCAATGCAATGGTATCATTAAAAGTTAAAAATTCATTGTTTAAATTTTGAACCAGCCTGGTGTGTTGACTTCATGGCTCCTATCATACCATTTTGAGCCATAATAGGATGCCTAGACCTGCTTTTAATTTAATTTTTTTTCGCCCTGTTGCTTCATATTTTTCTATAAAAAAATCCGAGAACCAACAAATCAAATTGGTGTGGCTGAAAGCAAAAGTAAACTGCAACTTTTAGCCCTTAGGCATCAAATCTACATTCTTTGTGGGCCAATATTTCTCCATTCGCAGTATGACTGTTATTATAATTTGTGTAGTGACATTGAAAACATTATATATTTATAATACATTTCCTTATGTGTGTATAGGTGACCTTGTATGCTTGGCCGCATCATTGTCATTCTCTTATTAATTACGGTTAATTGTGACTGCCAGTTCTATATTCTATATTTGTTCTATAAAAAGAACAAATGTAAAACATTGATGAAAAGATTCACACTGAAATGCACTACAAAGTTCTTTATTTACATTTCTCTCTCTTTGCACCAAACAAACAGGATGGTTACTAGTATTACTCATAAGCACAGTGGCAAAATTTCCTGCTTATTTCAGTTTTACATGATTCACAACAGTACAAACTAGCAAAAACACAAGGTTTCTTTCCATTGCTGTGTTTCTTAATCATATTTTGTACATATTTCAGCCACTATTCAATTGAGTAGTGCTGTGTACCTAAACCCACATTTAGGTTCAGGTCCGGATTCAAGTCCAGAGGTTTAGGTTCAGTGCCAGACTCGTAAGTCCGGACCTAAACCCATGGCATATACAAAATTGCATGTTTGCAACCTTGCAATGTTGTTTGGGCAAAACTTTGGCCACATAACATGGAGGCCGACACTTGACGATGCCCGATGGCAATGTTTTCTTCATTTTGCAAATTTGCAGCAAAGATTTTGCGATTTCTATGGAAGGTTTTGGATGGTTTGGAAAGAAAAGGGGTATGTGACATGGTTTTTTTTTGTAGTAAGTCCGGAAAAGGTAGTTTTTTTGGACTTGAACCTAAACATTTTTAGTCAGGAACCGGTCCAGCAAACTGGTACACAGCACTACAATTGAGTCATATCAAACTTATACTTTGTCAATACCAGTTACATGTATGTACAGAATAAGCAAAAGGCTCAGAGAACTAGTCGCTTTCTTCTTCGTCACTTTCAATAATTTTGCGGGCTTTTTTCTTCTTGTTGCCATCATCTTCTTCTGCCTTTCTTTTCCCGCTCTCTGAACCCTCCTGAGGAATAAAAATGATTCTTTAGTTTGTCTTGCTGCGTACAAAGAATTATTTGCTTTGTCAATGTTGAATCCTTTGAAAAGATTCTCTTGAGTTTTTGTCTGTAATTCGTTGCACAGAATATGATGATGTCACTAAAATGAGTAGTTACAAACAAGACAACCATGAACACAAAGAACTATATAACAAATGATAAAAACTATATTGGAACATCAAATTTCTGTGTCTTCCCAAAACAAATAAATGGATATTGTTACTATTTTGGAAGCAGAAATTCGATCTCAATGCTTGAAATAAACTAGTCAAACCGGTCCAATCTGGCTGGTTTCTCCATGATTTCTCATTAGTTATCATCAATAATCAACATGATTGAAAATGATGTGGTCACCATGGGCAGGTATCAGGCCTTTAGCGGACCCAACTCAGGGCGGTCGCGGCCACTTTGGCCAGGTGGTCACCTTGGACAGGTTGCTTAATGCTTGTGTCAATGGAGAAAATTTTTGGGGCCGAAAAAAGTGGTCACCATGGACAGGTGGTCTCCTTGGCAGGTTTGACTGTACTTGTCTAGTTCATGTGAGAAACCAATATCAGAAGTCACAGAGGAAAGTTGAGGGAAATGTTTTACCTCATCCTCGTCGCTGTCCAAGGTCGTGATGACCTTGGCCTTGTTCAGCCGTTCTTCCTTCTTCTCCTCCTCCTCCTCCTCCTCACTGTCCGAGGAGTAGATGGGAGGACGGAAATCTGGAGAAATGAACAATAAAGTGAATGAATGAACTAATGGATGGAGGATGACAGAATGAATAAATGGAGGAATGACGGGTCATGTGGCGTAGCTGTAGCGCGTTCGGCCCAGACCCAAGAGGTTGAGGGCTCAAATCCTGCCTGATGTCACCAATCTTTTGACCTTGGGAAAGGCACTTTACACGACTTTCCTCACTTCACTCAGGTGTTAATGAGTACCTAGCTCTGCATAGGGTCATCCCTCAAATAGGATGTTAAATGGAGGTCCCGTATTTGGGATAGCCACACCCAATGCACGTTAAACTTAAAGAACCCAACACATTTATCGAAAAGAGTAGGGACCTTCCCTGTATGACTGGTTCAAACCTTACAGTCTGGTCTCAGGTTTGACATCTTGAAGAGGTGATAGTCACCTGTTATGTCAGTCCTTCCACAAATGTGGTAAATCTTTATAAATGAATAAAAAAATGAATAAATGGACAGAATGAATGGTTGTACAGCTGTGCAACCAGCCATTTTCTGTACACATAAATCTAAATCCATTTTCAAGTTGGTTGCACTGATGCACTGAAGATAAGATACTAGTAGGTTGTAAACCTGTGCAACCAGTCATTGTCTATACAAATCTTCCAACCTTTTTTGCCAGGTTTCTTGTAGTTGCCCTTGATGGCCGCCAAGCTGATGGCTTCTTCATCATCGTCCATAATCTCGTCAAAGCGGTCGGGTTCGAGGTATGAGGCGCTCAGGCCGCGGGCGTGCGCCTTCTCTCGCATCCTACGCTGCTGAGCTTCTCTTCTCATTGTGGCCCGCAGTTTCTCCTCCTCTTTCTAAACATCACAGGAAAGATTTGATTTGATTTATAATTGAAATTGTAAAAATACAATAAACGTGGAACAAAGACAGCTGTTGCTACCTGAAACATTGGACCGTTTTGAAAGTCTATCCAGTTGCTTGAGTAACTGTATTTCTTGTGGTATCACAGGAAAGATGTTGTAGTCAGTTGCAAAATGTGTCTGGATCCAGTTTAGCGTACTGAAAAAAGCTAACCTGCATTAACTTATAATAAATGAAGTTTGAATCATGAACTCCTGCAGTTAGAAGTGCAAACATTGGAAGTAACAGGTCGTTTGGTGTGATATAGCTAGCTGCCGCCACACCGCGTGCCTGTGAAGCTGGTGTGTTACTAGCCTGGTTACCAATACCAAACCTATTGTAAGTCCTGAGTTCTACTAGCTCCTGAGTTCTACATCATCTCTGCAAATAGCTATTTGCGGAGATGATGTAGGACTTGGGAGCTATAATCAGGTCTCGAAACTCTTCTTCCTATTGTCCCAGCACTGTCCCAAAAATAAATTTTAAATGTCCCAAAGTGAGGATGAACTGTACCAACCTGTTTTTCGGGAAGTATTGTATGACTTCAACTTGAAGTCAACTTTATTTTGTTTATGTTCACTCCCAGGTGCACTATACATGTAATTGCAGTGTAGACAGGAAATTAAGGGGGACTTTTTCAAATCCAAAATCCGGGACGTGTGCCTGATAAACAAAAGAAGGGCTGACATTCTGATTACTTTTCTATTGTCCCAACAATGTCCCAAAGTGTCTTTTTAGTTGTCCCAGCCTAAATTTTAGTGGTCAGTGGCCATTGGACCACCTTTAATAATTTCGAGCCCTGTACAATAGCTTTGGTAACCAGGCTACTGTGTAATACAGATACAGATTACACATTTTTGGTATCAAAAAGGAAAATACATCATCTGTACACATGCAAACTGAAATACACTAAGACAACCTTGTGGGGTCATGTGGTGCAACGGTAAAACATTCGGCTCAGAACCAAGAGAGCCCGGGTTTAAACCCTGCAAAGTCACCAACCTAGTGCCCTTGGGAAAGGCACTTAACACAACTTTCCTCAATTAACTCACTGACAGGTAAAAATGAGTGTGCCAGAATGATCATTATCATGATCGTGGGCATTAAAAAGAAAACCAAATCAAACCAAACCTTGATCATCTCGGTTCTCTGAGACTCTGGGTCTGTCCCTACAAGAGGGATGACTCGGATCTTCTGTGTCTTGGAGAACCTGTCTGCCAGAGACAGGGTCATCTTCCTGTGGGTCGCACTGTTGGTCGAGTGTGGTCTGGAAACAGAGACAAACACAGTCAGAGCTAAGCATGAAACTTCATCTGTGATGGTACAAGTCTGGTAAAGACTAAGCTTTAACTTCCAACACTAAGACTACAAGAATTGTCGTATGACCCGCTACATACGGTCAAATGTCTTTTCCGTCACGTTCCAAGAGTAGATGGGTCCATTCTGTGAACAAGGTTGATGGAGTCAACCGAAAATTTGGGTAAGTCCCAATTCTGTATCTAAGTGTTGGAAGTTAAAGCTTAGTCTTTATTTCATACACTCAGAGCTAGTTTGATATCCATATCTCTTTTTTCTTCTAGATTACTTCTTCGATACAAAGCATTTCTGATAGCTGAAGACACTTGATTTTTTCCTTTGATACATTCTAATATGAAACAGTTAGGTATACATGTAGACTTAGAGAGTTTTTGTACCTTCAGTTGTTGTTCCTAATTGTTAGTTTTTCCATCTATCAATGCAGTGGTTTGATTAAAAGTTCAAAATTCATTGTTTATATTTCAACCCAGCCTTTTGTGTTGACTTCATGGCTCCTATTATTGCATTTGGGGTTATAAAAATAAGGATGCCTAGACCTGTTTTTATTTCTTAAATTTTTTTTCACCCTGTCGCTTCATATTTTTCTGAAAAAGTCTGAGAACCAACAAATTAAATTGGTATGGCCTTACTTTCAATGGTAAACGAGACACTATCCAAAGCATAAACATCTTATTTGCAGCTTCTGATTGGCTGTACCTGAAGGACAGTTTAGTTTTGAAGACGGCCTGTCCGACCAATCCCGTGCCCTGTCTGATGAAGAGATGGTTGTGGTCGCCCTGGAGAGACGTCTTGTGTACGTCAAATATCTCATTCCCCAGATGGAGGGACATGCTGCAACATGGAGAACACATCTGTCAGAGGATGTCATTTTACAAGCAACTCTCTTTCTCTTCTACTGTGTTCTGTATTGTCTAAGACCTGATCATTGTATATATAGTGGTTTTATGATGTTATTCTTCTCCAGTAATACTAGCACGTCGGCAGAACGTACTGCACCTGCGCGAAACCCGTAATGTATTGTACATAGCATTTCGGCAGAATGTCTCATATAAGGTTGTATTCGCTCATATAAGGTTAGCATTTCGACAGTAGTTTCCAAATGTTATGTCGGAAAGAATATCCTCTGCAACAGGCAAAATTCTGATGCAACGTTGACCAAAAACCCAACGAAAAACGCGAAAATACAGGGTTCTGCGCAGGCGGAGTACGTTCTGCCGACGTGCTGGTAATACTGATTTTAGATTGTTTAGCTGTTGTATTCTTGATGTGATAAGTTTTTATGATGTATTTTATCGCTGATGATGCAGATATATGTAGGATTCTATGCTATCTATTTGTAATAACTGGGCGCAAGTTGTAAATACTCGACATATTTCATGCACTTAATCAATAAATGTGACATGCCAGTCAATATTTAATAAAATCTGAATCTTCTGCATCTGCAGTCTTGGAAAAGTCCTACAACTGCAATTGGAGTATTCCATAAATTAACAACTTCTTGTTTCAATATGTCATATATGTAATTTCTTTTCTCCACAAAACAAGGACAAATAAAATGGATTGTTATCATTTTGTTATCATTCAGTTCTGTAAGACGAAATTCCATGTCAATGCTTCACATGCGGTGCTTAAAATGAATGAATGAATGAATGAATGAATGAATGAATGAAGACCTTTATTGCACATTTTTGCCACACTTGGCTAAGTACAGGTCACAACAAAACAACATGAATGGATACAGTTAATAGATACAAAAGTAACTAGAAAGGCCGACATTTGCTTGAGAGCAAATGCAGCAGATGGCTTCACCACATCCCCCATATCGAAAATGGATCTATCCTACGATGGCTGCCAATAGTCTACACCCCCATGCAGCAATGGAACCTTCCAATGCCGGAAATAGCCAAAAAGCCCTATTTTGCATAACTTTAAAGTGGTGTATGTCAAAATCGAGAATGACATTCTTTGGACATGTGTCCAAGGTATCCCCATACCAAATTTCAGGTCATTCGGATTTAATATTAGGGCACAGGAGCCAAAAATGTACATTTTTGGTCCGAAAATAGCAAAAAAGCCCTATTTTACACAATTTTAAAGTGGTATATGTCAAAATCGTGAATGGCATTCTTTGGACATGTGTCCAAGGTATCCCCATACCGAATTTCAGGTCATTCAGATTTAATATTAGGGCACAGGAGCCAAAAATGTACATTTTTGGTCCGAAAATAGCCAAAAAGCCTTATTTTTCCCAATTATAAAGTGGTGTATGTCAAAAGCTTGAATGACTTTTTGTAGACATATGTCCAAGGTATCCCCATACCAAATTTCAGGTCATTTGGTTTTAGTACCTGGGAACCAGATCTCAAAATGTATATTTTTTGCCTGAAAATGGCCAAAAAACCCAAATGAAACAATTTTTCAAAAAAATGAAAAAAACGCGTCAGGGTATTTGCCCACTCTACCTTCATGCCAAATTTTGTGTTATTTGGCCTGAAAATGGCAGAGATGAATCCATTTAAAGAAATGGCAGGAGGAGAAGGAGAAGGAGAAGAAACATGAGGGAACACAATATGTCTTCACCACTTTGTGGTGAAGCCATAATTAGCGGTTGCTAATATAGACAGGTTTGCGTTGTACATAGTCATTGTAGTGTAACTTACAATATGTTTTTTGTGTGTGCTTTACCTTTTACAGGGTTCCTTCTCATCCTTTTCTAATCCCCACTTACCTTGTAAACAATTTCGTCATCAATATACTAACAAAAGAACAATAGTTACCGTTACACCCAAAACAAAATTTCACTTCTTTATGACTTCTCTATGCCCCATGACCTTTAACCTTTTGAGGGTCATGCAGGCGTCAACAGCGCCCTCCCCACGCCTTGCCCACCTACCTACCGAACTACCTACCTACCTACCGAACTACCTACCTACCTACCTACCTACCGAACTACCTACCTACCTACCCTCGCAAATGCAAGGTGATGTTTCTGCACTTCTCAAAAACTGTGCCACCACTACCCTCACTAAAAATTGACAACTACCCCCTAGTACAAGTTCAAGTAGCTAAACTCCTGGGGCTCCATATACAAGCTGACCTAAAATGAAACACCCAGGTGGACCACATGGCCAAGAAAGGAAGCCAGAGGCTTTTCTTCTTGAGAAGACTCAAATCTTTCGGAGTTACTAGAGAAGATCTTGTCACCATATATACAAGTTTTGTCCGACCCACTTGTGAGTACGCTGTCCCAGTTTGGCAACCAGCCATTACACAGTCCCAAAGACGTCAACTGGAAAGAATACAGCGAAGGGCTTTTCGAATCATCCTTGGGCCTGACT